ACATCCAGACATTCAACAATGACGCAACCAGGGACAAGAGACACACACGGCTTAAATACACTGGAAAGGTGCAGGTGATTGGATACAGGTGGAAACAATCAGACAATCACAGGGGGTGACAGGACAAGGCAGGACGTGAAGTTACCAATGGACACAAGAGGCAGAAAAAAGTAAGACAGGAAACAAACCCAAACCGTGACAGATCCACTATGTTCCTCCCAAATCCAGGTGACCGATTGAATGAATCCATTCTGATGCGTGTTTCTGCTCCCCATTCCGCGGTTGTCTCCTCAGATGGTAAACGCTCCTCTTAAACTTAAAGCATTCTTCTTTGCCCTTCTGAACCAAACAAGGACACTTCCCTCCCATTACCCTCCACAGAAGATGTATGCAAAAGGGTCATGACAGAGGTGAGTAGGTGGATGGGAATGCGAAGAAGAGAGGTGTGCCATTTTTTGTATCACATCCTGCTGGTGGCAAGCCCCCCCTGCCAAGCGCCATGTGAAGATCCGGGTGTGAACACTGGCTCTGATGCAAGGTTGTGTGCGTGTGTGTAGAGGGGGGCGTCGCTGGGATGGGTGGGTTGGTGTCAGATGGGGGCAGGAGGTCGCTTCGTCTCCCAACTCTCGCTTGAAGGGGGGATGGACCGGCAGATGCACATGTGTGTACGTGGGAGTGTGTGTGTGTGTGTTGTGTTGTGCGGGGCGTGCATGTCGCCTGTGTATAGGTAGGGGTTCATCAGCATGTCGTGAGGTGACAAAACACACACAAATGCACACACACACACACACACACACACACAGATAACCCTGTTGAAAGAATCAAAGAATTTCCTTCGGATGGAAGTCGTTAGAATGTCACAGATTTGATCCCCATCGGGTTATGGCATTATGTATTCAGAGCAATATTACGCTTGTTTTGGCTGTCAACAAGCGCTAGCCCCCTGCTGATCCCCCGTGCAGCCCCGAATAAGAGGGCTTGGGTGAATTTGACTGTTCTGATGAATTTATTTGGCTAATACCTGCCAAGAGGAACAAAGCAAGAGGACCATCACTCTTCATTTTTAACCAGCTTGACAAACTTCAACAAGTGGAAACCTTAATCTTAATCCTTCCCTGAAATGGTTGAGATTACTATTTGGAACGTAGGAGGAAAAAAGTCAGGACAACAGAAAGTTAAAGTAAAAAGATGATAGAGGAACTCAAGAAATGTTCACGTAAAATGTGAGATGTGCAGAACAGTGGACAGGCAGGAAATAACCAAAGAATCATAGAAAGATGAAACAATGTCATGCAATGGTTGTTAATTGATAATTCATTTTATTTTGTACAGCTCAAAATCACAAATTAAATATTTGCCTCAGAGGTCTTACGTACGACATCCTCTGTAACAAAAATCCTCACAACAGCACAGAAAAAACCTTCAATGTGGAGAAGAAAGGAAGAAAGAGAAGGCAGAGGAGGAACAACGGATGTCATGTGTACAGAATGAACAACGGAAAATATGTACAATAGGTTCAATTCATACAACAGTTCATTAAAACTGAATTTTGATTAATTTGTGGCTAAAGGCTTCCCAATCCATACAACACAGACCCCTTTCTATTCTAGAAGCCAATGAAGAATGATTTCCTGAACTCAGGCAAAGCTTCATGTCTCTAAGTCCTGTTCTTTGTGTGACAACTGAAAGTAGCCATGTAGAACTTCTGATGGATCAACAGACACTTTTTTTTCATGAGGAAACTGACATTGCATTCAAATTGGCATTAAACAGATCTTAAAGTTGGTGAATATCACAGGCATTATGTGTACACAAGATGTCCCTGACAGACCTCCAAAATGCCAGTCGTGGCAGCAAGAAGACTTGTGAAATAGCTGTCAGAGCCTCTTTTCGGTATAAAGCGAAGAGGAGTAAAGCAGAACCGGACACAAAATGGCTGCTGCAAAAATGGCCGCAGATGGGAGCTGTGGGGCAGCGCAAAGTCTTAAGAAAAATAGAAGCGAGGGAGGAGTGAACGATGGAAAGAGGGAGAGCAGCCAGTCAGCGGATCAGTCACTCCAGGCCTGGCCTCTCAGCGGGGGGTTGTGCTCGGGGCGAGATCACAGGCCTGCTGCCACGCCGAAGCCTTCACAGGCACACAGCGACAGATAGGAAGCTGCTGGCACCAGGTCGCCTCGCTGATTCACCACAGCACCGCTCCGGCACTGCCACTTTCTCTCCCTCACCCATGTTCCACTGACGCAACTTGACCCACAGGCAGGTTCATCATTATTTGGTCTTTGACACCATTTTCCTCAATTTGGCTCAGTACACATCCATAACCATTTGGAATGAGACAATCGGGCTGTGCTCAGAGTGCAGACACCGCTTCAAATCGTATTGTTATTTTACATTACATGTCATTCAGCTGACGCTTTTATCCAAAGCGACTTGCAAGAAGTGCATTTCAACCATGAGGATACAAACCCAGAAGAACAAGAAGCAAGAAGGTGGTGTGGACAAATCAACTGTTTGGGGCGTAGAAAGTAGAAAGAAGGCCTTAATGAGCTCAGCGACACCAAACCATCTGGAAGACCACGGAAAACACCAACGAGTTATTGAACAGGTAAAGAAAAAGCCTTCACATCAGTGGGCCAGGTGAAGAACACTATCCAGGAGGGAGACGTTTAAGTGTCTAAGTCAACTATCAAGAGAAGACTTCCCAGAGGGTTCACCATAAGATGTAAACCATTGGAGAGCCTCAGTAACAGGAACAGATAAGAGTTTGATCAGATGATACAAAGGTGCACTTGTACCAGAATGATGGAAAGAGAAGAGTGTGGAGAGGAGAAGGAACCGCTCAGGATCCAAAGCATACCACCTCATCATTGGCAAAGAAATGGGGTGTGCTGCAATGCATGTGTCAATCACCTGACCTGAATCCATCATTCACTTGCTGAAAAGGAACCTGGTGATGTCTATGGGTTCTACACTCCTGGCTGTCATTGAATGCATCAAAGGATTTGCAATCAAATAATAACAGTGACGATTTGATTCATGATTAAGTTGGTTTGTCCAATTACTTTTGAACCCTTCAAAAGGGGGAGACCATGTATATAATTTGTCGTGTAAATGTAAATACCCATAAATTGAACCTGAAAGTCAACAAGCACATATTGATTGTTTCATTTCAAATACTTTATGGTTGTGTAGGGATGCAAATGGGAAAACCAAATATATATGGACCTGACTGTGCATGTAGATGTGCTCTTCTTGTGGCCTCAGTGCCTGAATGAGAAGGTTGTGTTACACAGACTGATATCATCACACTACATGAAGGATTTAGGGCTAGATACTGTGGGATCAGTGTCACACAGTCGGTTTATATGCACAGCAGTTTCAACCTTTAACCAATCAGGGAACAAATATGTGCTGACGTGAATACGTATACATTTGCATAAATTTGTTAGAAAAACAGCAGATTTACTGTAATTTATAACATCGCTTCCCGAACACATTTTATGACCAGCGGAAGAGTTTGTGAGTAGTTCAGGTTTTTAATTTATGCTAAATTCACAATTCTGCAATCATAAACTACAAGGTTAGTTCAGATTGAGTGAAAGGCTGCCGTATGACTTTGTCATTGTTTCTGTACCTTGTCCGTGTTTTATCTCCGTATCAAACACAGAGGCTGCTTGTTATTCTGTTATTCCTTGAACATTTCTTCATCTAAAATCCTGTAACTGATGAGCAGAATATGCATTTCATTTTAAAATTTGGACGGACATTGGAGCTCATATTAATTCATTATGATCAAAAACTTTCAAGGATACAATTATTCTTGTACAACTAAGCCCTGAGCATCCTATGCCTCACAAACACAGGCAAACAACACCGCAACAATCTCCCCCTTCTTTTCTCCTCACATTCTTCCCCAGCCCACATCCATTCTGCATTGACCCTCACTGTTGAAAGTCAGTCGGCTTCGATTAGTATCATAGCCGCTCGTCATTATCCATCAATTAGTCAGGCAACAGTCAGCGTCCTTAGAGAAACATCTGTACCCTTTCGGCTGTGTTTCGGCAGGGTTCTGTGCTCTGAGCTCGCTGTGCCTTGCAGAGCATCCTGTTTAGAGGGCTTGTCTAAATAAAGCAGATGTCAAAGTTAAGGCTTCTAGCACCTGTGTAAAAGTATCAGGAGCAGAGATGACAGTACCTCAGTACCTCATGAGTACTGACCGACTTGTGCTCCTTAGCTCACAAAGCCCCAAAACAGACAAGTGCAAAAACATAGCAATGAATGGTGAATCTAGACAGTAGACATTTTCAAAAATGTGCTAAATGTAGCAGTAAATACAAATAAATACAGAAAAGAGCCGTAAAGTGAGAAAACGCAACCAAATAAAAAAAACTGTGCAATTATTACTCAATTCAATTTGTTTTATTTTGTATAGCCCAAAATCCCAGATCCCAAATTTGTCCAAACAGTCACATGCAACACCCTCTGTCCCGAAACCCTCACATTGACACAGGTAAAGCTCCCCCAAAAAACCCTTGGATGGGGGAAAAGGGGAAGAAAGCTGAGGGTTTCAGTGAGCTGAAATCTAGCGCAGGTGAAACAGTGCATGTACAGTGCAGAAGTGTTTTCAACTGAGAATACAAACACTCCTTTCATGTACATTGGGATGGGTCATCATCACCTTTTTTTACTCACTTAGTCACAAGACTTTTTCCATTTCCAGAGACGCGCACTAATAGAAACTGCAACGCTCAAAGGCAACAGGGCTTGGGAGATGAAGTGACACCTAAAGCATTGCTATCATAATCTTTGACCAGTGCTCATGACTGAACATGGTGCTGTGCACCACGATCATCACACACCTGCTGACTTATTGGGATCAGAGGCCTCATTGCCTACAGGATCTCCCTGTGGTCGACGCTCCAGACAGATAAATCCTCGCGTGGAAAAAGATGGTTTTCAAACTCACAAACTGAACGCACTGTATTCTTGTGTTTCTCCAGCAATGGTACACCAGCACTATGAACCTTCTAGGAACATGGCTGACAGACCGAATGGACCTGCAGCTCCACCTCCATCAGCTCAAGATTCTCATCAGGGTTGTCAAGGTGAGAACGGCTTTCTATACCACTCGGCTAAATGCGTGAAGAATGTATGATCATTAACATCCTCAATAATCACTAACATGACTTGACTGACAGGTTTACAACATCTAACTGCTGCTTCCTATTGGATTTGGTATTTGTTGTCGTTATAGTGGAAATGCCTCCACTATTAATACGCTGTGTGAGGTTTTTGGGGTTGGACACTGTTCTTCATCAGGAAGGCCTCTTATACTAAAAGTAAGACACAAAGCCAACTACCGTGCTGCCAACACGTACCCTGTGATTGACACCTAAACACTTCACAAAGTACAGATGACAACACACAGGAATCTTCCCTGAGTGAAACAAGGATGCCGTGTTGATTTATTTGTGTCATATTTTTAACAAAACTAATTGTAGCAGTAGTTTTGTTGCAGAAAGATTTTTTTTTTAAAAGACTAAATTTATTAATTAAGTGGAAAAGACAAATGAGGTGCTGGACTGGTAGGAAAACGCACAAAATGAGGAGTAAATTATACATATATATTACAAATTATTGTATTAGGGTCGGTTGAGTTTAATAAAAAATAAAAAAAATGTCACTGACGCAGTAAACCTTGATTCATCCATTTGGTTTGTGTCTTATAGAAAAAGTACCGTGACTTCCGCCTTCAAGGGGTTTTGGACTCTACGTTGAACAGTAAGATGTACGAGACGGTGAGAAACCGGCTGACGTTGGAAGAAGCCACGGCCTCAGTGAGGGAAGGAGGGTTGCAAGGCATTTCCATGAGGGACAGTGACGAAGATGACGATAACTAGATCAAAGAGCCTGAAACTACAAGGACGTTGCAGCGGAACACTGCCTGAAATCCCACGCAGCCTTTCTGAGAGTCAAAAGACATCATTCAACTCCATCCCTTCATTATCTGCTCTTTCCCTTTTTCACTCCTGTTGCGGGTCCACATTCTGTCAGAATTGAGGATGAAGTGCATTGTGTGTCTGTTATCAGCTTCAATATTGCAGGGCTTGTTATCCACGCTATTCAAACCGAAGGTCTCCACGTCGACTCATCGGCCACCTAAAACCGAAACATCAACAAATAACTGAATGTCCAAAAGAAGCTAAAATGTGACAGGAGTGCAGACATGTGAATGTGAACACCCTGCAAAATTAGATGAACCAAGAAGTTAAAAACAGGCAGGAGGTCGCATCTACATGGATGTCGTCTTTTCAAGGCATAAAAAAACATTATTGAATTTCAGGAGATTTCCTGTAACTCGCATGAAGTGTGAAGTGAAATCTTGCGATGATGTAGATGTTGTTGTTTTTAAGCCAGCCAACAAATGCCTGATGAACATTTCACTGCTGAAGTCCCATTGTGATTGATCCAAATGGTCGCTACAAACAACAGAGTTAAGATATCAACAAATAATATTATTATCCGCATTTCCAAAATTGCCCCGGAATGTTCTCAAGCAATATGGTTGACTTTAGTTCTCAACTCAACTGGGCGTGGCTATTTCTTTGTGTTGTGCTAAACAATGTGAAGTTACTGGCTGTAAAAGATGTGCATATTGTCTATTATTACTTTTTTTTTGCATCGTGCCTGAACCGAATGCTTAAAATGATGTGCTGTGATATGACGTGATAGTGACGTTTTTTGTACGTTCTCAGGCGCGTTTCTCAAACCGTCACAACAACAGTCGGATGAAATCCGAGGCATCGTCAACTATTGAGTCATTCTGCTTAAATAGTGACAAAGGTGAGAAAGTGATTCAGCCAATGTTTACCAGGAGATCGTACAGATCGGTCGCCTCTCAGCTGTAAACTCTTTGAATTAGCGCGAGGCCGTCTGAATAGTTCTCGGTGTTGGCGTGTTGTTTGTCAGTAGCTCACCTCCATGAGCAGATCATCGCAGAAGAACGGAAGCGTTCTGCTTTCCATCCCAGCGGCTCAGCGGCCTGTGTGGAGAGCAACGGGGGCGGAACGCAGAGGCTGAAAAGCATTCTGGGAACCCACAGACTCCCGGGCCTGTAAATTGGCTTCTTTTCAAACAGTCTCGTCGTGGTCATCTCTTGACTCCAGTCTGGGGTTGCAAGTTGCTGTTAATGCCGCAAATACCGTCTGTCCGTATTGGCCTTCCCACAAGGTACAGCAACACAAAGAAGGTTGGATTTAATGATCACGTGTGATGGAAGCAACATCTGATATGTCTCCCTTTGTCACTGCTCTTGATCTTTACTTTACATGGATTCTTTAAAGTCGATCTGCAGTATTGAGGCACAACTAACGCTTAGCTAAATTGTTTCAGGTAAATGAACTCAGTTGCGAGTCTGCGAGGTCAGTAAAGTAAAGCGACAATTCATTATAGCGAGGGGTTAATTTTGCCCGCAGCTAAATGTTTTTGATCAGTCTGCCGAATATGGTCCCTAATAGTGGAAACACTAACGTAATGCCTGAATAAGGAACACAAAGACGTGCTCTCATTAACCCGTAAGCACATCACGATTACTTTCATGAGGGGAAATTGTGCGCAGTACATCAGGCGAAGGTATAAAAAAAAAGCGAAAAATGTTTTGTGCAGTGAAATTGAAAGCAGGGATTTTAAGAATCTTAAAGCAGCAGTTTCGGTCTCTGACTATACATATTACTCGCTTGTGTAAATGCCACTTGTTCTTCCATTAGAGAGTGAGAAAGCTGTGTGAATCCTCAAGCAAGACGGTTATACTGTGTTACTAACTGAAGAATATTTGTCAAACCATTGCATATGAATCTCTCGATGGCAACGCAGGCCTCTGCAAATGTTGGCACTTTCATTCCCACATCGATCTAACCTTTGAAATTCTGCCGTCTTTACAGTTTGGTTTTTATCACAGTGATAAATAGTTTTCAACATTTTCTATTTAAAACAAATCCTCTATTGGAGTCAAAATATCAGTTGAACAATAGATCCGTTGCCATCAGTTCCTTTCTGTGCCCTGCACTTCACCCCAGGGTGTGTGACGGGTCCCATCCACATTTTTCCAGTGGATGACGGGAGGTGAAGTGTGCGCATGCTTTCCCTCTGTTTTCTGCACTGTAGGCCTGAGCTGTGTGTCGCCCGTCGTGCAGGTACTACATGTCCCCAGTATTCACCGTTGTTCGCTCCTTGTGTGACGTTGCCGCTGGGTTCATCATGTTTCTACCTCCTAGAGGACCAATAAAGGGGAATGGCAAATGTGCAGAAACACTGTGTCCGCTCGTTCATTCTTGATGTTGGGGATTGATTGAATGTGAAATCAGCTGCGAAATGTCCAAACATGTCCAAAGCCTTTGGGTTTGTTCTACAGAGATAGAACATTTGGTTTCACCGAGCTAACGAGGTTGTGTCAGACTGCAGAATGAATACATATTGATAATCCGTGGCCTCCTTCCGTCCCCCACAGAAGCCTTTCCTTGAGGAAAGGAGTCAGATTAATGCTGTAGATTAAAGCATCAGTCATCTTAAGAGTTGATATTGCCAGAGATCAAATCAGAAATCAAATCAAGACCCCAAGATGGAAACTAAGACTAAAGTCGGGAGGATTAATGGGAGATATAATATAGTCCAAATTAAAAGGAGAGGGGATATATTTTAATTATGTCATAGAAGGGGGAAACAAATCCTTCTCAGAAGAATAGAGGAAAATAGAAATGAGGTCAATCCAACTGCCACTGAAGTTCGATGGAAACGCTACGGTTACACAGTGACAAACCCACAATTCTGTATATTATTCAGCAGGATAATTAAATTAGAATTTAGCGATCGTTTTTCCCTTTATCGATAAATGTTTTGATCTTTGCTGGTGATGAACACAAGAAAGATGCGCTTTGCTTTCCTCCACTCAGAGTCACTCGCACCATTGAGTCGCAATAGTTTTTCAAATTCACACATTTAGTTTTCACTGGCAAAGCCTATGGTGAAACGTTTGCTCAGTGATACGTTCCCAGCAGGCTCCGTTAGACGGAACGCTGGAGATTTTGTGTGAGCAATATGATGACTTTGGAGGTTGGAAGCTTTTGTCGTAACATTTAAATTTTAAGGTGAAAGTTAGTCCACAAAATGCTCACATGCGTTTGTTTATGAAGAACATCGTGGCTGAACGAACTAAATCAAATGTAAACAGTAACATAGAATACGGCGAAACACAGCATTCATCCCCCGGCTGGTCGCTCATTCAAAAGGGACCAAACCTACTGACAACAACTGCAACGCAGTCACTTCTTGGCCAGGAGGTTTTGTTCTAAGCTGAACTGATTCTAGACATTAAAAAATAAAACAAAAATAAAACAACCTTAAGCATGATGTGAAGTCTCTGCCCAGATCACTGAGCCAAGAAGCCAGGTATCAAACCACCACACTTCTGTTTGAGGGAGCGTCTCTCACCCGTTTTACGCCCGACACTCTCATCGCGACGCTCCACTCCGAGACCCAAATCCTCACGTAACTCGACATCAGACAGGAGAGGGGTTGTTTAATGCCTCGGCATGAAACTGTATGTCAATGAAATGTAGTTTTCCTTTGAATAATATAGTTAAATTCCCCCACATCTCTGTGGTCATTATCGGTCTCTGACCCGCTAAGCATTCAGTGCCATTTCTCTAAATAAAGATGTCTCCAACATGTCTGGGGAGGGAGAGGCAGGATGGAACAAAAGAATGTGCCAGTGGAGGTGATGTGCCAGAGACCTCACATGGCGTCTCCACAGAGGCCATTCCCTCATATCCTACGCATATGAGAACAATCAAAGCACCCCTCCTCTTTTAACATCCAATCTGCGGAGTCGGTGAGCTGCCTCGGAGTATCGTTCATTTCATTTCCGCATGAACAAGCAGACAATGATTGGGCGGTTCTGTGCGAGCGACGACACCAGGACGGATTAATGGGCCTGGAGATTTACGCCGGCACGATCTGATCTGCTTCGCCTCTAAAGCCTCAATCAGGAGGGGAAATAGGACATGATAGATGTATCAAAATAAAAAGAATATCCAACTGACCGTCACAGTGAGAACTGGGCCCCGAGTTTCAGCAATGAAGGGCCGCCGCTGCGGTATGGGGAGTCCTGCCGTGACGCGGATGTGAGAACAAGCCGTTTCCACACATTGAGTCCATCCAGCCGTCTCCGACATGATACGTGTGGAAAATGACAACAGGGAAATGAAAAGATGAAGGGAGGAATCAGCCCGTGTGTAGACATTCCAGCCGCCAAATGAATTGGTCCGTGTAAAGAGGCATTTCAATTCAAAATGTGTCTCACGTCGTCCTTTAAGGTAACCGACATCAGAACAGAGGAGGCCTGCAGGCCAAGAGACGTGCTTGTTTTCGTGTGGATGCGTTGCATGCCAGAAGTGTCAAAATTGCCCACCGTTTGAAAGGGGCAGGTAGATGTCAGATCCATCTAATAGAAGCGGCGCCCAAAGCCTCTTATTTTTTACTCCCCGTGCACCAAAACCTTCTTATGGTGGCCTTAGGAGGGGACAACAAGCCCACTGATTAATTTTAGATCTTTTCCTTGAAAAGCTTACAGTTTAAAGCAATCTCACTCAGTGTGCAGGCAAGACACGAGGACAGATTGGGGTTTACCTCCGAGATGAATATTACACGGAACTGTTAGTCCTGTTTCATGGCCACGTACAGTATAAGCCAATATGGGATCAACAATATCACAGTCTTAAAGTGGGACTGCTGAGGCCACTGTTATTATTAGATGGATGTCAGGAGGTAATCTCCCAAACCAAGCACATTGGATTCTTCACACCTTTCTTCTGGAAGGATATTTCCCCCCTTTTTCCAATGCTTTTTAAATATAATATATAATATAACCTGGACCTTGTTCTTTATTTAGACAAGAATATCTGCATTAAATCACTGAATTTGAACTTGTTGCCTCATCTAGTGTCTGGATTCATGTTCAGTAGTCACTGCACTGACACTACAAACCATGTCCATGTTCATGGAGCCAGGACAGTTGTTTGAAGACGAACCTTTGGCTTCGTCCATTCCCTCACATGCTTGCATGGGAATTGGAATAGAGCTCCTAGTGCGGAGTAGAACGGATGATCGGAGGTTGGCTCAGGGGAGGATTCTCTTTGGCTGGTGCATCAGGACAGCTCAAACCCCCCTAATTCCCAGCCTGCTATCAATCAACCAAAGACCATGCCGGACCCCTTTCTGTACACCTATCTGCTTCCATCTCTGCCTGCATCGTATGCAGGCCCAACGATACCTGCTCAGAGAATAATAACAGCTATGGGGCTCAGGAGAGACCTTTGCCGATCCCTTCAATAGATTTGCCTTGTTACATTAGAATGAACTTGTACAGGATTGAATCATCTGCATATTCTCTAACAAACACAATACTTCCCTAATCCTTGTAAAAGATATTTCTTTGCAGCCAGAACCTTTGAACCCGCCCCAGAATTCAGCATTAGTGCATAAAGCCAGTAAACTGATGGCTTTATGCACTAATGCTCCAAGGATGTCTTCTGTCCCTCACTACTGCCCAAGGACTCCTCAGTAAGGCATGTCTGCGCTGAGTGACTGTTGAGCCAGAGGATGCACACACACACACACACACACACACACACACACACACACACACACACACACACACACACACACACACACACACACACACACACACACACCTATGTTAACCTGTAAGAACTGTATACAGCTAAATAAATCACGGAGAGCTGCTTCAATCCGCCACTGATGCAGAAATGAATAAAATGGGTTGCAATCGTAAATATTCAAACTAAATTCCCTCCGGCAGAAAATTCTCAAACGGCCTAAAAGTCTCCTATTTTTCTCAAAACATTACATCTGACAAGCTGATGTCAAGATGTTTGTTTGGTTAAATTGACATAATAAATCAGAAGAAAAACAGGGGAACTGTTAAGCTTCATTGACACGGTGGGATATTCAGACTGTAGCTGTGAGGCTTTTGTCCCTGTAACCTCTGAGCTACAGTCATTGTTAGAAAGTATCCACGTGTATCCAAGGGTAGATGATCCAAGGAGGCAATTCACTGGATTCACTAAATGTGGACACACGTAGACATAAAATCCATTATCTTATTGATGTGATGCTAAAAGCTCATGATACAATGCTACTCTGCACAGTTGAATGACTGAATGTGCAGGTGTTTTATTAAAGAAACAATCGTACTTTTCTTTGGAATAAATTAACGATAAATTGAGGCTTAGAGTAAGGAACACGCAAATAATCAAATAGATGAAATAAGATGTGCATGAGGGTGGTGAGGTCAGACTTTGTGACGGACCACATGGCAGCTGTGGGGCGATGGGGGGGGGTTCAGGAGACCAGGTGGAGACATGACAGGCTGAAAAAAAACCTCCACGGCGCTTCAGGACGGAAGGTCGGGCTGACAAAAAGACTCCAGTCAAACAGTCAGTTGTGCTGTTCCCAGCACCAACACGCCACATCGCCTCGACACACACAGGTTTTACTCTTTGTCGCCAAAAACTTCAGAACAGAGGAAGGAAGCGTGCTGACAGCGTGTGCTGCTGATGAAAGCAGCACGTACAGCTTCTGCTGCTGGTTTGCATATAATTAATACGTTTGATTTGATATGAAAGCGCTTAATATGTGGGTTTAACTGATTCTTTCAAATGTGACATGTCACACTTCGACAGTCTGATCCCGTCCGTGTGAGGTATTAGTTATTTGTCTTGTTGTCTGATTGTATTACTGTCCGATGTCGTGCACCAACCGCCATGACAAATTCCTAACATAGGAATAACGTCTAACATATTTTGGCAATAAATTTCCTGATTCCTAATTTCTGCTTCATCAACCTTTAGTCAAACCTCTCAGTGCTGTGGTTTACTCTCCTTTGTATGATATCCTACTCAAATTTGCTTTGTTTTCCTAAGTGAGCAACCCATTGCAATTGTTGCTCGTTACACACATTTGGGCTTTAAAAATTAAACTTTAAAATGAATGAACGTTTAACGTGAATTAGAACAGAGTCTTTTTTCATTCAAACAGATTCGCCTGATGAATGATGCCTTTGCGGAATTAAAATTGCAAAATGAAAGTCCACCAACACAATTTATGTGCACGACGGAATAATAATCAGACAGGCCTGCAGAATAACATCTAACCTTACAAATAGTTTTCACAATTTCCCCCTAAAACGCTCGATGAATCCAATGCAACCCTTGCAAGATGAAATGAGCGGCCTCCGTGGGAGAATTCCCTCCCTCGTCACACGTCCCGTCTCATTTCCTCAGGTTTAACATCAGTGAAAGTTGTCACCACGATGGGAAAGTGTGAGGACAACTGTCTGTGATTTCCTGTGCTGAAATGTGTGGGGGACATAATCAGCACGTTATGTCACCGGCAGGAGCTCCACGCAGACGCCGACTGCACTTATCAAGGGATACATGGAGAGATTTGATGTCTTTAAAGGTGACCGGGACTGGAGACGCTTGGATGGGTATTCATTTCAATATTACGGTACTGAAAGAAGTCTGAGGGGTGAAACGCTGACTGCCCGTTTCTCCAAACATCCACTTCCACAGAGTCCCATCATCAGTTTGACCATTAACACACGTCCACGAATCCAACTTCTCAAATCAATGACAATATCTGTTACAAACCGCGAGCCGTTACTCCGAACAACAGGCAGCTTGACTTTAAAAGACAGTAACAAATAATGACCCGTGGTACCATCAAGTCGAGTGTGAGGCAGCACGCACAAAACCAGGACCCTACAAAGCGAAGCAGCTTAATGGAATCCATCATAATTTGTTATTTATAATTGTTAAAATGTCTCGCGTGAACGTCTATTTGTTTATCAGGGAAATCGTTCCACCGGGACTAAATGCCTGAATAAGTGTGAATGTTAACTGTTAAGAAGCCATCGTGGTCCCCAGAGGGGTTGACACGCTTTATGGAGGCACGTTGCAGCCCTCTTTGCAAAATGACAGTTTTAACTACTGTGCTTTATTTTCTTTTACACATCCAAGTGTTTACATTCCAAGAGTAAAATGTCTGCAATGTAAATTAGTATTTAAAAAAATGTAAACGTGATTAAACGTAAATGTTCCCACGAACAGGTCACGTGTTAACACATCAGACGTGTTTGTCGAATGGCTTTTAACGGCATCCCTTGTTTAGGTTAACTGAAGGATTTTCACAATAAGAGCAGCTTTCTTCATCCTCTTAGAAAAAAAAAAAAAACCTGCTGATTACAGCGTTTTATAAATGAAATGCTAACATACCCTTTATTTCTGCGCGGACTGTGGTTTCTTGTCACCCTGAAAAGGACAAGAGTTTTTAACGAATCTATACAAGTGTGACAGAAACAGGACGTCTGTGACTCAATGAAGATTCACATGGTCATAAAATCACCAAATGACTGTATAGGTACTGTATAATAGATTGGGAAAGAAAAGGAGTCCTTACATTGTGAGGGGAAGGTTTGCGACTGCTGCATGCCTGCAGGCGAGAAGCAAGAGTCCCTTAAATCAATGCTCGAGCTAATTGCTGTTAGAGCTGAATGGAGGGGCCTGGCTGACAGCAATAGGATCAATGTTTATTGTGTGGATGAGCCGGCAATTGTGCCTGAATAAACTCAAATTAGAGTATTTTTGGCCCTATTTACATATGATTGGCACCGAGACAACAGGCAGTAATCCTTCCATGCTGAGGTGCAGGTGTCAAACAAAACAGAGTAGGGATGTTTTTTAAGGTTATTAACAGAAAAACTAGTGTTCTAGGACGGCAACATGCTGGGCTAAGTATACTACTGAGTCTATAGGGCTGGAGGGGAATCATCATCGTCCTCCACCTACGGCAGGAAACCCACCATGTGTAAAGCAGGAGGCTCAGAGCAGCAACACAAGAGCTGACCATTTACTTTCTCTCTTTACTGGATGCTGTAATGTTGAACAAAGGTCTGCTCTCTGCGGCCCGAGCAATTTATCAGTGTTTACGTGGTCTTATAAAAAACAGCAAACAGTAAAAAAAAACAGAATCATGAATTAAATCAACAGACTTCATGCTAAAACTCACAAAAGATCATTTTCAATCCAGGTGGAAAATGTTCAAAGTTAAAAGATTTCAGCATTTTTACAGAAAATATAACGTCTAAGGTTTGAGTAATACATCAAGGATAAAATATTGCATTTTAATGAATGAATTACACTTTCGCTGAGAAAGTAAGAAAACCAAACAAGAAACAAATATAGTTCAAATATTATCCATTGGCAGTTTTGAACCTTTATATTATGTATTAATAGTAAATCATTTTAATGCATCCACCATTTATCATTTGGCTCAGCGTCACCAGTCCATCACAGGCCTGACTATGAAAAATGTTAATAATGGAGAACCAGAAGGTCAGTATTCAAAGCGTCCGTTGGTGGTCTAGCTGATCAATTAAAGAGCTCCCTGAAAAGACAAAGGCAGTGTCCTGCAGGACAAACACCAGCTCCAGAGATTCTTCACAACCTGCAGCCATGTTCCTCCACTGGTGACCATAAACAATGAGAACATAATTAACCTAAATATCACGTGCACATCATAATGTGCATATCCTTTATTCCCATGGAGCCGGAAGGTCCCACAGGTGAAGGGAAGGAAGTGCACGCGGCCCTCGTTGGACGTCCCACAACGCGCTGGATTCCTGCAAACGTCTTGTGTGCGTCTTCAGAAGGGAAGAAAAAAAGCCTCTCTTTTTATTTGTCCTTTCAGTCCGAGCTAAGTCTTTTCTTTTTCCTCTCTCCCTCTTTAATCCGTCCCCTTATTTCAGGGAGGAAAAAAAAAAAGCACACACAAAACCAGGTTCACGCGGTGCTTTAGTGGCTGACAGTGAAAGAGCTTGTGTTTTTCCTTTTCCCCTCTTTGCGCCGAGTTGAGCCTTGAATCGCTCTGGAAAATTGCTTCTTTTCAACAGAGGGACCGAGGAACAACGTTAATGGGATCCAAAGGGAGTCTCTGCTCTTAAACAGGTGGAAATTGGACGTCCTCGAATTTTACACAAATAGTAAGTAAGTATATAAGCCGGCGTGGAAAAGCAGGGATCCCATCTCAGAGGATTAGCGGGGGGGGGGATTTTTTTTTTTTTTTTTACTCTTGAAATAATTTCCCGAAAGTGAAAAATGACAGTGTTTGTGAATGAAGGCTGGAGAACCTGTTTAAACGATGAAAACACCATTGTGACGGTAATATTTTTTCAGCTCGTCTGGTCTGCGCGCGGGGCGATGGAGGCGCCTCCCTGTCACCCGGCAGGGCGCTCGGGTGCGCGCTAACGTCGGGGGACGGTGGTCCGCGGCGGAGGGGCGGGCGCTGCCTGCCGACATGTGACGGCTCCTCCACACCCCATCCGCCCGTTAAAGAGGCGAACTCCCTTCCCTCGCATCCACCGGGAGCTCCGTTTAGCAGACTGTTTTCCCTCCCCCTCTTCTCTTTTTTCTCCCTAAGGACTTTTGTAATTTCTTGTTAATTTTGTGGGCCCTAGTTAATGAGCTTTAACCCTTCCCCCCTGGAGGCTATTTTTGCGCCGAAAGGAAAAAAGGGGTTTAATTCTGAGGTGGGGGGGGGGGGGAGGAGGGGGGAGGCGGGGATGGGGTGTCCATTTGAATGCAAATGCGTGACACTGTGACAGCAAGGTGCTTATTAAACTGATGTGTCCTCCTGTCTTTTCTGCCGGGAGCTGAGGGGAGTGAAAAGACGCGGGGCAGCAGGAGGAGCGAGTCGCAGCGCGCTGGGGTTGTTGCTCACACCAAGTTCGGCCAACTCCAAACAAATTACTGAATCGACAACCAAAAATGGCCAGTTCTGCGTCCTTGGAGACGGTGATGTCCGCCAGGACCGGGCCGTCCGCGGCCCCCAAGACCCTCGCCTTCTCCATAGACCGGATCATGTCCAAGAGCTCGGAGCCGAAGCGGGGCGCGGAGGAGCGGTCCGAGGGGAAGAGGATGCTGGGGCTCTGCTCCCCGATCCCCTGCATGTTCCCGCTGCAGCCCTTCAGCTACGACCTGCAGGCCAAGGCGCTGATGAACTACTCGGAGCTGTGGAGAGCTAGTCTCAGGGGGACTTTTTGCGGCTCCGCAGCCGCACCGTGCAAGGGGAACTGCGGCATGTGCGCCAAGGCGGAGTCGGGCTTGAAGCAGCAGCCGCTGCTGTCGTCGGGGAGCCGGGTGGTGAAACCGCAGGTCATCCACCAGGCCGTGTCCGTGCCCCCCGGCGGCTCGCTCTACTATCTCAACTACCTGGACTCTGCGTACCAGCAGTCGGAGCTGTTGGCCGGCCACTGGTTCTCCAACCAGCAGGCGCAGGCCTCGCTGTCGGCGCACCACAGACTTTTACTTCTGGAGAACGCCAAACTCGCAACGATCGGGTCGGAGAAGCCGCCCACGCCGCAGTACCCTCACAAGGAACACCTGCCGGGGCAGCTGGACCAGATAGTGAAGGAGAACCACGGCCTGAGTGCCGAGAAGAACGGCGTAAAGACGCACAGTAAACCGAGCAGCAGCTGCACCGGCGCGGCGGACGCCAAACCCAAAAACTTCACGTGTGAAGTGTGTGGAAAGGTAGCGTGTTTTTTTACGTGTAACATATTGATATTGGTTCGTCCGAAAGGGGATTTAACGATTGCAAAGTACAGTAGGTCTATATATTACTCCGGCTATTATCAATTAAATAAGAATATTGTATATTTGTATATTTTATAGTGACAGTAATGCAATAATATTATTTATGTATATTTATATATAATTTAAAACCGGTAATAGTACACTTCTTTACAATTAGATCGTTGACAACGAATTATTCAGCAGCAACAGGATTCAATTCCAGATGTTTTAAAGGAGATGCTTTTCATGAGCTGATGATAGAAATCCACCTCTTTGGTGTTTCTGTGCCGTCCGCAGGTTTTTAACGCGCATTACAATCTGACCAGACACATGCCGGTGCACACCGGGGCCCGGCCCTTCGTGTGCAAAGTGTGCGGGAAAGGCTTTCGGCAGGCGAGCACGCTGTGCAGACACAAGATCATCCACACGCAGGTGAAACGCGCCTTTCCAAAATCAAAAAAAAAAACACCCCACAGTTGGTTTGGTTTTGTTAACAGGTTTTTGTTGTCGGTCCCTTGTTCAGGAGAAGCCTCATAAATGCAACCAGTGCGGGAAGGCGTTTAACAGGAGCTCCACGCTCAACACGCACGTGCGGATCCACGCCGGCTACAAACCGTTCGTCTGTGAGTTCTGCGGGAAAGGTTTCCACCAGAAAGGTAACGATCCACCTGCCGCCGCGTGTGTGTTCGAATGAGAGTTGTGGATCCAAACACATCGCAGGCGTTCAGTTGTTTTGGATTATTCATACTGAGCTCGTGTTGTTTAGTGTCAGTAGTATAAAGCGGGTGGAATATTCTGCCTCCCCTTAGTGGTCTGCGATGCAAAGCCTGTGTATAAAAAAGACAGGAATTTAATTTTAATTTTAATTTTAATTTTCCTCTGATGTTATCTGCTTAAATGTATTTTCAAAACAAAAAAACACTGCGTCTGATGGGATTATTTTTGATCTTGTTCCAATCTTGACATATATACAATACCCTCCTGTTTTTACATTTATACTATAAAAATAAAAGATCTGCGCTGCTGCTTCACGCTATTATTGTATGATATTATTATGATATTATTATTTACCTCATGTTGGAGGAAGGCTTTCTTGCCGCACTTTGCCGTCCTATTGTTTTTTCCTAATTGTTTATAGTGATAAATTTATCATACATTCTGTTTTTTAACATCATACATATTTAAAATACATATTGCAATATTTTCCCTTCCGTTATTTTTGGCCCGTTGGATTTCCTCCCCCACCAACGCCTGTGCTTATAGCGCATACGGCGCGCGTTCGTTGTGAAGGAATGCGCGCAGTGCGCTGGGAGAAGCGCCATATGCTGCCGCTCTTATCATCTGGGAGCGCAATAAAAAGGGGCAATAATTGCGGGCCCCGCCGATGAGCGCGTGACGCGATCAGTGGAAACAGGGCACGTCACTTTCCGCGCACTAATGCGCGCCCCAAAGACGGCAGCATTTGCTCTGGGGTCAGCTGCCGGACCTCCGCGAGCAGGAGGGACCCCCCCCCCCCTTTTTTTTTCCTTCTGCGCTTGATTCTGACAAAGTTTGACAACTTCTTGACTTCCGACACACAAAGCCCTGATTAATGAACGGCCCGGGCCGGGCGGGGGGACAGATCGGGGACTTCACAGTGAACCGCGGACCCTTGCGGGAGGGGGGGGGGGGCTCTTGTGTCCTCACTTTAAAACAGCACTTTTACTCTACATAGATGGTTCTTTCTGGTGGCCTTTTCCTCGATGGGGGAAGACATTTACATCCATTCACAAAAACTAGAATTTCCCTTAGACAGTCCGGGTGATTTTGCAGTCTATCTGTGTTGTGTCTGTTAGCTGCGCAGCTGCTGCGTGCGTGTCGCCTGCACGCCACGTGATGTCGTGGAACGAGAGTCACACGAAGTTCGGCCCCGTAGAACCGAATCAAACCGCTGCTTTTCTCTCCACCTCGCAGGGAACTACAAGAACCACAAGCTGACGCACAGCGGGGAGAAGCAGTACAAGTGCTCCATCTGCAACAAGGCCTTCCACCAGGTCTACAACCTGACCTTCCACATGCACACGCACAACGACAAGAAGCCCTTCACCTGCGCCACCTGCGGCAAGGGCTTCTGCCGCAACTTTGACCTGAAGAAACACATCCGGAAGCTGCACGACAGCGTGTTCACCGCGCCCACGGAGCCCCCCAGGGAGAGGGAGCCGCAGAGCTGAGGCCCCGGACCGGCGGGGGGACGCGCGGAACCGCTTGTCCACGCAGCTCGTCCAATGACATTTGGGGAAGAATCTCTTCAAAGGGAACCGTGGTCGCGCCTTGCGATGTTGGATCCTGTGACAATGTGGCACAAAAACCCCTCCGTCCGCGGGGGACACCCGGGGGACACCCGGGGGACAGACCGCGCGATGGAACTGTAAATAATAGGTTATGGAAATAATAATAAAAAATGTTATTTAATATGTGGATCTTTGCCACGTCGTGTATTTCACAGAAAAAGAGAGTTCGTGTGAATAAATAAGTTATAACTTATAATGAAAATGAATGTCTGAGCCATGTCACTTCTGTTTGTTTTTTAAGGCATTTGAAAATAAAAGTCATATGATGCAAGTTGTGTCACATTCAGAAACATTTGGCTTAATGTGGCGCAACACCAGAGAAACACATTGATAAACGCAACATTATCAGAAATAAGAGCATGAACATAAATACACAATGAAGATTATAAAACAAGTCAGTGGAACTATTTAACATGCTCGACGTGTGAGCTCTATATCAGTTTGTTTGATTATGTTTTTACGTTGTGTTGCTTGTTGGTCACTTTTTTTTGCTGTGTTTTAAATGTCGCGACCAGCAAATTACATGAGATGATCTGATGGGAGTTTAAATATTTCATCTTTTCAACATGTGATTCATCATTAATTAAACATTATTTGGCGTTTTCATCTTCCAGGACAAAACCCCCAGAACTGCATCAAATACTGCTGAAGACATTTAATTCATATCGCTTTTTTATATTTAATGAGCCCAGATGCTAAAAAAAATAAGTAAAAACTGATTTCCCGATGTCACTGCAAAGTTTCACTAAACAGGAAAATACTATTTATGTAGATAATTTAATAATTGCATTCATACACATTTACAGTTTTATTCTCAAGAGCAAACGAAATATGTATTATAATAATTCAAATAATTATTATATTTAAAATGATAATAATATTACAAAATTATGATATTACAGAATTGTTTTACAAAATTCTAAACAGCATTTCAATTTAAAAAATACTGCTCGAATGATTTTATATATCTACTGTGTTTATATTGATAAATACACTGTATATAGTTGGATAAATATACAGTATGTATAAAACACTGTATATGTATAAATGTACTTTATGTATACACAGGCATGTACTAAGCGTTGTGTGTTGTCAGGAAGCCACATATAGACTCAGTCTGACTCGACTGTATGCTCTGCAGCCACTTTGCTTCACCATTTATTGACAGACACGATCTTAATAATGGAGCATTTACACTTGACTCGCGCGTAATGGCGCAAATGATCGCAGATAACATGGGCCCTTGAAAGCGAATTACATTAAGCAGCCCGACACCGGGGGGAGGATTGATTGGGGGGGGGGGGGGGGGTGCAGCCCTCTGCTGCATCCGGAGCCTCTCATCAGACCGGGAGATAATGGAGCACTCGGGCCGCGGCTCCTCATCTGGGCCTCCGTGTTAATAGAGCACACGTTATTCTCCTCACGACTCCTGGAACAATATTATCCCTGCACACATTCTATGGAGAGACGGGTCCGTGCTCCCGAACGGCGCTCTTTCTATTAACAGCCAATTATAGAGGTGCGCCTGCGGACGCCCGGCTGGGCTCATCACGCCCGATGAACGCGCGTCCTCCCCGCGCTCTCGGCACAGTGTTGTGGCTCCAACAGCTTTCAGATTAAATGATTTCAACTTGCAGAGTTCGGCCGGTGGAACGGACACGTTCAGGGGCACAAGCTGCAACCAGCCTGTTTACATTCAAGACCTTCACTTTTACAAAAGTTGTTCAACTGTGGTTGATAGAAGGTAAGTTCGCCATGTGTTACGTGTTAAATGAATACATGTCGCAGGTTTACGTCTCTCAACAAACACCAGCACCGTCCAGCTTACATTCAGAACCAAACAGTTCATGCCGTGTAATAAATGTCCAAACGGCCCGTGTGGGTCTAAAGAGAATCACTCCAATCAGAACGTGCTTCACAACGCGGACCTGTGCACAATGCACGCTCCCCGCGCCCAACCGTTTCCCTCGGCGGGTCACGTGACAGGCAGGGGTCTTTGTGATCCACGTCACACAACTTTTCCCCCGGTGATGTGCGACAACCACAAACAAAAAGCAACGGGCACGCTGCAGCCGCGAGTGTGCGTGTGCATGCACGCGAAGGTTGCCCTTTTCTCCAAGCTGCACCCCCCCGCCCTACCTACCACCTCCACATCATCTGAGCAACCGCCTCTCTATCCACAAACACGTTAATTGACGAACGGGAACTTTAATTAAGGCGCGCCCACGCGATGGGAGATTAACCGCGGTGGCCAGAAGGGAGCGCGGGAGCGCGCGCTAATCGGCCGTCAACAAAACGAGGACATCTTTCTTTTGCCTCCCCCCCGCCACCGGGGGGGGGGGGGGGGGGATCACCGGGGATTCAGGCAATTTACGGGCCACAAAGGAGCTCGTTTGAGACAGGAAGAGAAGAAAAGAGAGAGGCGGACTTTCTGTCTGGCCGATTGAATTGATTGTAAATGGGAGATTAGCGGGAGCGTCAGCGGCGGCCCGTGAGGGCCCGGTCGAGTGGGAGGGAGAGAAAGGGACCAATTAAGTCTACCAAATGTTAACTTACATCAGTTTCCCCTCAGTTTAGCCCACATGAAATTCCAATTAAAGCGTCCTCCTTAGGAAAGGGGGGTGCGGGGTGGAGGGGGGTGGAGGGGCATGTCATACAACCTGCAGACAACAGACATCTGTTACAGGCTCTGCGTGGGCCATTCCGATAGGATGGGAGTGCTTTCATTGATCACTTTACGGAATACGCCGCAATGGCATTTATTAGATGATGCACCGAAACATCATTTGTAAACGCTGCCGTCCCAATGGAGTAAAGTGAGGAAAAGCTTTGTCCTGCACTCAAACATCATCATGTATTTTCATCGAATAGTTTTGGATATGAATCAGTAATAGTAATGCTTTTCATTCTCACATTATTGCACCGGTGTTTGGGTACAATGTGAACGCTCTGAATTGAATGACGGATGTTCATGACAACATCCCTGCTGTTACACAAACGTATTCACCAGACTCATTGTGTTTACTTGTTTTTACTTGACAAGAGTCTTGTCATCTCAATATTACCTAAGAGGCTATAGGGTCGGGGGGCCGATCGCTGACACCCTCCCCCACCCTCCAACAACCCGGCCCTCGTTAGGGGAACCCCGGCCCTCCGGCACAATGAGCCTCCGGGATTCATTGTAAAGTGCTGAGGGGTTAATGAGCAGTGGCTTCTCTTCACCCTCTGGCTCTGTTCCTGCTTTCACCCAGAGCCGCTTGAAAGGACGCAGGATGGAGCGGCCCACAATGGAGTTTGGACCTTTTGAGATGTCCTGTTTAAAAAAAAACACGTCCACGTTACATTTCTCGTGAGCACATTTGACTTTATTATTATTTTTTTTATTTTTTTTACCAAAGGAGATGCTGCCGTCGACCCGGCTTCAGCCTCAAAGCGATAACCAGCAGGCAGCGGACGCCGGCGGGGCGTTCGGGGGCGCCGGGGGATCCGGGGTGCGATGCATGGAAATGAGCCACTCAAGAAGCAACCCGAACACACGCATTAAAATGGAACAGCCGCGCCATTCACTCCCGCCTCATTTAGATTCTTTTACAGAGTCAAACCCCGGAGCCTTTCTCCACCGAAAAAACCTAATCAGGACGTCTTAAAAGACGGCGGCGAGCAGCTTGTCCCTGGGACGTGTTCTGCCCGCCTGCCTTGGCATGTCAAGGGCACGGCGGTTCCAGGGGAAGCGATGGGCTGCTGGGAACTGAGCAGCGAGGGAGCTCTCATCGCTGATCCGTTGTAAGACTCCACTCTCTGACCTCCGTCTATCTGTGGCCGCAGGCCGACAACAACGGCTCATAATATCGTGGCAAACTGTTGACCCGTTCGGTGGCCAAAAAGCAGCCCAAGACGTGTCTGGCGCTTTAGGCCTCATTGGGCCTCACCAGCTTGAAATGAAGGGAAATATGAAAGAATGAAAGAAAATAATTTGCTGGCAATTTTCAATCAATCAATTGGTTATTTCAGGCGTGGATGAAGCACAAATGCTGAACATCCGTCGTTCAAATACACCGTGGGGGGGTTGTAGGGTGGCCGCCTCTTAGATTTGTGTGTTCTGGTTGCTGTTTTCTTGCACGTTTTCATGTTGTATGACTTCTCCGGTAAACATGCTTTCTTTAGTCAAGGATAGAAGTCTGTCACAGCGGCTCTCCTCTTTATTTAGCCCGGACATTTTATAGACATAACACTTAAATGAGAAGTTGATAAATAAATATAGAATCATAATATGAAAGTAACTGTCAGACTCAACAATTCTAAAAACTGTCGTACAAGTATTTCATATTTCATGCAAAAATTTGATGCAAAGAAGAACCTTTCATGAACACAGCTGAACCTGTTTAGGTTGTAGAATATTGTTCTTTATGTTTTAAATTGGCCCAATTTTTCCTTTACGACATAATGCTATGTCAGCAATTTATGCACTGTATTTTTCAAATTTATATAAAATATTATTTTGTGAGTTTAATTAATATTTGAAATAATTTCTCAAAAAGTGTATTAAATAGAAAATAATACATACGTACACAGCAGATTGCGTGCAAGGGACCTCACATGTTGATGGAGATCTACTTCCTCTAAGACACACGTGAAACGTGTCTGCAGATTAACAGCATGCAAACAAATGTCTTCATTAGTTCCTCAGCATTCGTCTCCTCCTCATGGACACAAACACAGGCTCACTAATCGACCCATTTCATGTTATTTTACCTGCAACTGTTCATATGTGTCATGAAAACATACGGCCACGACCTGTAGTGTGAACATGGCCTCAAACACACAGACCCCCACTGATATACAGACGGGTTAGATGTTCAATCATGTTGGGGTATTACTGGGGAAGAGAGAGTAACTCTCATTGGTATTCAGCAGCAATTATTAGTAAAAAACAAACATAAACGTTATAAAATGATGCGGACAAGACAAATACACAAACACACACACACACACACGTCTACTCAAATATGCAGCTCTTTGTTCAGCTAATTACACAAACATTAATTTGATCATCTGAGTCAGGCTGCAGTGAAACCGTCCCACTGGCATCAGAGCGCTGCGTCTGTCAGGGAGGATCAGTTCATGTGGGGACGTCCGGTGCCACGGCTAATCTTTTTGACCTGATCTGGCCCTGCTGGAAAACGGCCTCTCCTCCTCCACTCCGGGCCACCGTGGGAGTGATGGAGCAGTCTGCTCGCTCACACAATCGAAAGACCCCCTCAAGACCAAATGAGACTGTATTCGGCACCGTTTACCGAACTAATTGTTTACTTTGCTGACCGGGATCATTTCGTAGTAAACATACTACATCTGGATTGGTCACTTTCACATGTAATGGTAATTTCTTACTAACCTCCTAAATTGTTTTGTCAGGGATTCAACATTTTGCACAGATCATCCAGGATCGCAGATGTTTGGCTTAGTTGAGCCACACGAAGACAACGAGAGCCAGAGACCAACTTGGGGAATGAGCTGTGGAAACATACCTGCCGCACATTCGACCGCATCCTAGTTAGTTTTCATCTCACCTGCATGTCTTCTTACTCTCCTGTCATTTCAGATCCTCCCACATCACCAGCTGACCCTCGCCTGGTTCTGCTCTCCCTTCTCACCTGCAGCACAAGGCCCCCATCAGCCACTCGCCATTTAAGCCCGTCGCGTTCTGTTGGTCGCTCCCAGATTGTCTGCTGCGTTTTGCCAGGTTTTCCCAGATCGGCTGATATACGTTTGTTCTGACCGAGTCGGCCTTTTGACCAGGATTCCCCCCCCCGTTCCTTCTCGGGTTTGATTGCCTGCGTCATCACCAGTAACCGGAACACTAACTTCATGATTTAGGACCAATACCGAAGTTCGTTAATGAACATAGAAAATGATCCGGGGACAATAGGAGTGGGTTAGCAGCAGTAGTTGGCTACATGCAGATTCATTTTCCTTCATCCATGTACGCAGCGATATTCATTAATCGGTTCATTGTTTGATGCAAAATAGTTAATGACATATTTTATTCAAAGTCGCTTGTGGTTGCAGACTGGTTTATCTGGCACTGGTATTTCATCTTCCTCACATTGTGCTGTTGCTTCGGTGAAGCTTTAAAAAGCTGTAAATGTGTTGACGGAGGCGTTGCAGCAGTCAAACCCAATCAGGTGAGCGATTAGTCGGCTGCTTTTCTCCGTCTGAAGTGTTTGACGTGGCTGGTTTGTGTGATAGTAAACGGATTAGAGAACGATACAGGCCTTCGTTAGGAATGAAGCACAATGCGGAGGTGCCGCGGGGGGGGGGGGGGGGGGGGGGGGGGATCCGTGCCCAGGTGCGATCGATATCAACAAAAGGCGCAAGAACACAAACACAAAATGTGTACGTGTCCCTTTCAGCGGCCCGCTTAATCCAGCAGTCGATACGAAGTAGCACCGCGCACTCGGACTCTGCCAGGCGACCGCAGAAAGACATCCGGGGACGCACCGATCGATAAAGTGGCTGAAGTGGAATTCAGCGGGCGCGAGCTGCCACCCACTAGGATCCTCCAGGAGAAATAATGCCGTTAAAGTACATTCTCACATAAGCTCCAGAAAGCTGGTTCTGTTGGGAGTACAGGGGATTTAACCAATGAAACGTTTAAAAATAGCTTTTTGTGTCAGAAGGGGCTAGGGTGAGGTGGGGGAAGAGGAAGTGTTACACTTGCGCAGCCCACAGGAAGCCAAGCGTGGCTACCTTAAGGCCAGTGTTGCTTCCTCTCAGTGTACAACGTGAAGCCCTCTATTTAATGCAAGGCAACACCGGCGACCGCGGAGGCCTGTGTGACGGAGCAGACAGAGAGCGCTCCTAAGCAGAGGTGACACCCCGTGATCGCGGGACAGGCCCACGCCGGGTCACAGCGGAGCCTCGAACAGCGCCACCGGGCGGGCAGCTCCGCCACATCTCCAAAATCCAAAGAGGAGAAAACGATGCTCCTCAACAAATCAAATCCAACGGTCATTTGCAATTTAAATGGCATCAGTGTTGATACAAATCTGCGATCTCTCCTCGCTCGAGACCCAAAGTGTGAAATGACGGGCAGCAAAAAACGCAGCACGCCAACATATTTTCCCTCCTTCATTCTTTCCCTCCGCTTCACTTGCCCTTGCAAGACCCGCAGCATATCACTGAATGAAATGCAGCGTGCAATTACCCATTATCCAATCAACTGGAGTCGACACTCAACCGTTTGCGCGGCTCTGGCTCAGCCAATTATCCGTCAGGGCTCTCAGTGGGCTCTCAACAGCCGAACCGCGTTGCGTAATCCAACGGCTCTGGATTCACGCCACCAGGGACGGAGAGCCGGGTTGGAGGAGAGCCGGGCTGCCGTCTGAGGGGGGCGATGATGTTGGCAGGATGAAACGAGGTCTGGTCACTGACAACGGGGGCAGCCAGCAGCCCCCCCCGGGCCCCGGCCATTAAAACACATAATGCAGGGCTATTCATTTGGAAGGGCTCCAGATCGTGCTCTTCAAAACCCTTTTTGATAACTCGCTACATCGAGTCTTCATCAACCCCCCCCTCTTACCCCCCCTGCCACCATCCGATCTTGTCAGCCACGATCGGACACCCAGCCTTAATACCTCCCCCAAGCCCTGTAGCCTCCTTGAATCCTGGCCTTGACCTCAGAGCACTGGCCCTTCACTGAACCAGCACCCCACCACCCCAGACCGGTCCAGTCAGTCAGCCAGAGGCCGCCTGTGGCTGGTTGACCCCCCGAGGGCCTGCAGCACTGGGGCCCCATCTGAGGAGCCAGGGAAGCTGCCAACCACAGGCCACTTCAACCCCCAGCTGTGCGGATGATTGCGTTTGTCAAGCCGCCACTCCGTGTCAGGCCAGCGCAGGTCTGATCACCGACAATTAGGGGTTAAAGAGGGGGTGGTGGGGGCTGTTTCTTTTGCAGATGGTGAGATGTTCTTCTCATTACTGACTCTGTGCTTTTCTTGCATAAGCCGTGCGCAGTGGTCGTGACACCATGAAGCAGTGACGGAACATTTGTTTTATATATATATATATATTATATATATATATATATATATATATTATATATAAAATTAAGCTATAAAAATGTTGGTTTAAATAAATAATACAGATGTTTAATTTAAGAACAGTGTCTCTCTCTGTGTCCGTCAAATCATGTTGTGATCACATGATCCTATCGTCAGATCGCTGTTGTCAAAATTAAGCACTCAAACATTTACTTATATTTTTCCACCATGTTGTACAACAATATCTTAAAACATCATCATCATCATCATTCACTGCATTGATTCAGCTGTTGTTTCCTTTTCGTGTGGGACACTGGCTCCCCCTGGTGGCCGAGTAACAGCACTGGAAACTCAAATCTGCTCCTCGAAGGAAGCTCTCTATTCTCACCGCAGCAAAAATACCACATTTGTGTTCAATTACGCCTTATGTAAAGCCATGGATTTCATTTTAAAGCATATGGTGTTAAAAAGAAAAAAACATAAGATAAACCAAAATTAAATAAATTAACTGACAAGAACGGGCAATGATGCTACTTTTACAATAAAAGAATAAAACCAGTGGCATCGTGAGATCATTAGATGAAACACACACACACACACACACACACACACACACACACACACGCGTTGTCTTTTAGCACTTTATTTGAGATTTAAAGTGATTAGTGCTTGAGGGCCATCACTCCTCTTTATGTATTGATTCATAGATTTATCACTAACGGCATATGACAGAATGAATTCATCAACGTCTGAAAGGGAATTTGTGCAGCAGACTTTGAGACGATCTCCACTATCAAACGCCACCACGCTGTGCAGGGAGGAGCTAGGACCAGAGGCTACTCCACTACCCAGCATGCCTCTGTCGGGGTGATGCCTGCACGCCGAGGAAGGAGGTGGCTGAACGCAGCAGGAGGTCGTCCTCACAGAGACGTGGGTCCATCTACACCCGGATCAAGCGGCTTATGATGGTGGACGTCGGGACTCTGGGAGGACCACAGGACACAGTCACAACTGATGATGTTTTCCTCAAATGTCTGCCGTGTTATTTTTCCCAGAGTGTTGTTTTTTTGGCCGTTGTTCATGATGACTGAAAATGTCCTGCTGTTTGTCATGCGTTTGTGTTGCATAATGACAATACTTGATTCTTGAATCAATATTACATCTGCTCTCTGTTGTGGACTGATGCATTTTAATAGAAGGTGGATCCTTCTGATTTGCTTTTGTACAGCCTGGCTGTAGTATTCCAGTGAATCGGGTTCTGGTCACCTCTCTCTCTCTCTCGCTCTCAGCATCAGCGCTCCAGTCGAGCAGTTCTGGGCCGTTGGCGGGGCGGCAGGCGGGCTCTCCTGGGGGGCGGTACTGTGCCAGGAGCAGGGTGCGGGCCTTTACCCAGGAAGAAGTCCTCCCAGGCTGGGAGAGATTCTTCCACAGACGCCCAGTATCTTGTCTGGAGCAGAGAAACAACATAAAAGTCACAAACCCAAACGGACTCCTTCGTGAGGTCAAACCCGTCGTCTCTCCCAGCGGGACGCTTGGTTAGAATCAAAGCTGCGTTCTCCTTCGGTCCTATAGAACATTGCTCACTTACTGGTACCAATCTGTGGGCCATTTGGTGCCGACCCACACAGAAAGAACACAGAACCTTTATTTCATTTATTTGACTTTGGTTTAATCTTGAAAAATGACCGTTTTTTCTCCCAATTATATGTGCTTGTCCCTCTGGCACTTGTCCTGGTAATTACTACTTAAGCCCACAAGCCAGCGAAAAATAGCACCATAGTACCTCCAGAGCCAGGAGATGTGGAGGCGGCAGCCACGTCCCTCTGAGACGCTCTTCTATCTGCTGTAAATCCTGCAGGGACAGAGAGCACGCGGTCAGCGCTTTAACCGGCACTCTGCAGCATCCGCCTCTCATTTACCTGCAGCAGGGCGCCGTTCCTGCGGCGCGCCGCCTCGCACTCCTCCGCCTGCCGCCGCCGGTGGAGCTGCTCTCCCGAACCCTCCGTCCGCTGCTGCAGCAGCTCCGCTCTCCGCCGCAGACTGACGGCGCACATAACGGAGTGTGAGAAGGATACAGGCAGACAGCTCACTGGCTGCAGTAGAAGCAGCTCGCCATTAGTTAACCAGGGAAATAATAATTATAATGTAGGCAAGGCAATTTTATTTGTATAGCGCTTTTCATACACAAGGCAGACTCAAAGTTCTTCACATAATAACATTTCATACAATAAAGTGAAATAAAATGCAGGAATTAAAAGACAATTAAAAACAGCAAATAAAATTATAAATTAAAATCTTATTTAAATTGTTTAATTAAAGGCAGAGGTTAAAAGTGCAATGTAGGTCAAATTTAGCAGAAGCTGAACATAAAGTTTTCAGTCTTGTTTTAAACGTGGTCAGAGTTTAAGTCTTAAATCTTCAGTTTATTCCAGCTGTTTGTTGCGTAGTAACTAAATGATGCTTTCCCATGATTTGTATTTACTCTGGGAATCACTAACAGATTGGTGTCAGAAGATCTTAGTGATCTTGAAGGCTTATGTACTGGAAGCATATCAGTGATATACTTTGGCCCTAAACCATGTAGTGATTAATATGTGAGCAGTTGGATTTTGAAATTAATTCTCTAACATAATGTAATGAACAGCGCTGAGCAATCACTGTTAATAAACTGTCAGCACGGAATAAACACAAAGCGAAAATGTGGGTTGGAACTCGTGTACGTGAATCCCATTAAAAAAAGATCCTTCTGAATACTGAGGGACATTAGACGGATCCGGGTCGGCCGTCCCTGCCTCTCGTCCCTCCAAACGCAACTCCATTGCCAATGCTTCTGGAAAGTTACTAGAGGCAGGTTCATTTGCTGCTGAAAGTTGGGATGTGGATGTGGTTTCCAGCGGTCTGCAGGCTCTTGTGCAGCAGACTGCTGCCTGTGCACAGCTGAGCGCCTGCTGTCACTCACAATGCAAGTGTTGTTGTGTCATTTAGAGGGAAAATGAGTGCATTGGAGTCACTTTACAAAAGTGGCTAAAAAAAGTGCCAAAATATATATTTTTAAATAGTTTAGTTTAAGTTAATAGTTTAAATAGTAATAGACTTTGTTGCTTTGTGCTGTTTGGAACAAAAGCTATTGCTAAATGGGCAACGCCGCCATTGTTTGTTTTCAGTGACTGACACGTGACGTGCCGGGCTGGGTTAAACCATCCTGGAGACGCGGGGGTTTGTAGGATAATGGACGTGAATAACAGTCGGTTTATGAATGGAAACTTAAAATGTATACTTAAAGAAATGGCTATTTGTAAAAGGCTTTTTGAATGAACGCTCATCTTTAATGGACACGTTCTAACTCACGCACCCCAGTTTGAGAACTGTGTCCGCGGTGTGTGAACGAGTGACGGCTGCTTGGCGCGTTCCGCTTCCAAACCGGGTCCTGGCCGCGGCTCAGGGGAACGTTGGCCTCTCATTATCGGACTAAACGAAGCCACTCCGAGAAGAAACGCTAACGGACGTCGTGAGAAGCACAACGTAACCTGAAGCGTCTGAACTAAATTAGCGAACAACGGACGCGGAAGTCATCAAACTGGCTCGATGTTGGTCAATATTAAAGAAGGCGGACTCACATTTGCTCATGTTTCTCAGCCAGATCGGTGTCGCGCGCTGCACGCGCAGACATGTTAACGTCAGCTGGTGGAAATGAGTTAGCCTGTCAAGCTAAAAGCACACGACCGGAAGACGCTGTACTTCACAATAAAAGCGTTGTGTCGGTCACATTTTCCAACTTGCTTAAACAGGAAACACGTTGACGTTATGCTACTGGTTGTATTATACTGTAGTTTATAGTAATGGAATAGGACTTATTACAGTGTTAATATTGAACTTCCTCAGAAGCTTCACAGTTTGTCTCGCTGACTCGGAGCATGGATTCTACATCACATGTCATTTAGCTGACGCTTTTATCCAAATCGACTTACATTTCATTTGTTAACTCATGGTTTTACATCACAGTGAGAGTAGTGTGGCAGCCGTAGTGGCGCCCTGGGGGTCCCGCTAAGGGATTTATCTGAAGTCACCTGCTAAATGGTTGAGAGGTCCTTTCCCAATATGCATCCTTGTCTGGACTCGTATGTATAAAGTATTCAAATCATTGTCATTTATTAAATCTCCAGGGGGGGTGTTGTTACTCATATGTTCTCCGTTTCTCTAGGCGGTGGAGGTCCGCGCGTCCCTCCATGGATACGCCTCCCCACGCCATCACTGACCCACCAGGTCACGCTGAACCACGTTGCCGCAGCATGGCGTTCTCCTCGGCTTCTCCAGACCCTTTCACGTCCATCACGGGTGCTCAGGGTGAACCTGCGCTCATCTGTAAACAGTGCGCTGGCGTGCCCGTTCTGGTGCTCCAGAGCGAATGCCAATGTGGCTCCACGGCGCTGGGAAGCGAGCGCAGGGCCCGCTGCAGGACGCCGCCGCGCCCTGAGGCCACCTCATGAAGTCTGTTTCTGACTGTTTGGGCAGGAGGTGCTCCACCTGCTCCTTCTTGCACAAAGCAGCAGAAACCAGGGAAAGAGATCACGAGGGAGGAACTTGGCGTCCGCATGTGAAACCAGTCCTCTTCTGGGGGTTGTCTCGTCGCTGCCCCTCTAGTGCACCTGTTGTTAATTACATCAACTCCAATGCACCTGAATCTGATTAAGAACCCCCTCTGATAGTTACCTGACCGGATAATCATCAGAGACGTGCATTTGAATTCATGCCATACCCTGATAAAAAAATTGTTCCTTTTATTTTTTTTTGAGCAAAGTAGATGTCCAACAGTAAGAGAGCTTTCAGAAAAAGAACATTATCACACAAATTATTTCAGAAAATTACATCAAAACCCATATTTTATTTTCGTGTATAGCAATTTACATATTAAATAACACGAACATAGAATGCTTTGATACAGCTTCCAACAAAACAAACCAACCCCCCCCCCCCCGACAAAAAAATCTATCTTTTCATCTTATATTTATTTGTCAAAAGAAGAAACGACAGCCCCGTTTTCCGTAACGGCTCAGTGTGAGGAAATCACTTTGACTCGTAAGAGAGGGAGTTATTCTATCGCTCACACCAGGCAACACAATCACCTCCACTGGCTGAACATCGAGGGGGGGGGGTCTGCAGCTGGAACCTGGAGGGTGATGATGAGCACAAGCTGGATGCACCCTGCTTGCACACAAACCACCACAAACCACCACACGTGTGTCGGATTGGAAACCAAGTAGAGCTTTGTGTTACAAGTCTTAAGCGTTTTTTACCACATCTTGTCAATATGGTAAAAGTCCTACGTTTTGGGATGAAACGGTATAATCTCTAAACATATCCTCCCGCACAGTCAATACATAGTTTCCAGACGACGTCTGGTCACAGAGGCAACAGAAGATATGTACATTTCTGTGTGTGTGTGTGTGTGTGTGTGTGTGCACTGAGCAACACAAACAACTCTTCATTCAGAACAACCGCGGTGCTCGCAATAGGTTGAATATGGAGACAGAAAGGTCTGAAGGTCACGGGCCACGCCAGCGTTTAGAAAAGCAGGAATTCTGAAATATGTACATTCAACATGCGGATCCGTGCCGCCGAGCGGCGGCTTCCCGTCTGCACCTCGCTGGGCTTCGAGGGATCGGAGATCCCAAATGGATGCAGCGGTCACGTCGGCGTGACACACCGGGCGATGTCACACTGCGTCGTTATACAGGCGTGGATAGAGTTCCCCTGAGTTAACGTATCGTCCCGTTGGCAACTGAAAGCAACACTAGCGCGACGAGCCGCTCGCGCCTGAAGTGTCTGTCTCATAAAAGAAGAGAAGGAAAATCGGCAGGAACAGGAGACGTTTGACACGACGGAGACGAGGGGAGAGGAAAAGTCTTTTTCTACACAAGGAGCGTTCAAGTCTTTGGTAAAGATCAAAATACATTTGCCCCCCTCGCTTCCAACCCGTTGTCTTTTTTGTGCTGTGTGAAAAAAAAAAAATTTCACGTCATCGACGCCACAGAAAGACGTTGTGGATGTTTGCGTCTAGAAATCGCTGACAGAAACCAACGTGCAACGTAAGAAGGCTTAAGGTAACCCGTCTGTCCGTTAGGGTTTGTTGAGAAGGGCAACAGTTTGGGAGGCCGCGTTTGGGACCTGCGACGAATTCATCATGAATCAAAGGACGAGCCTGTCGATTTTTTTTGTGGAGTCGTCGGATTATTAAGACATAGACTAATATTATCTAGTTTTGGTCTGAGTATAAATGTATCATTGCGATGGCCACGTCGCAGCGGGCCGACCTCGGTGACAACTAAACACGTTTACGGTAGTAGTGGAGTAATTGGGTCGGTTTTTACGATGACTAAAACCAGCGGTGGGTGGAAACGTGAGAAAAGGAGCCGGTGTAAATGAGTCAGCTCAGGTGAGTGACATCTGTCTCGCTCGGGTTTCCACTTGTAGCGTCGAGCCGCAGAATCGGGCTTGGAAACGGTTATAAAGACCAATCGATGAACTACTTACAGCTCGTCAAGTCACATTGCAGTTTTCGCTTCGAAGCGAGAAAGGAAAACAAAATCTCAATTAGTGAATGTGCACTTTTAGTGACTCGACATTCTGGAACGTTACAAACGAGGACTGGGACCGTTTTCGCTGCTACGGGAAATGCTGTGTCATGGAACACCATCGCTGCAGCCGCTCTATTCCATCCACCCTAAATATGGGAGTACAGGACCTGCAGACGGGAGACGAGATGAATAATTGATAAATCAAAAACATGCGTGTTTACAAACCAGCTCTTAACAAGTTTACCATATTTAAATGTAGCGGCTCATTGCGAGCGATTATTAGACTCTAGTTGGTGAATGGAGGGAAAATCGTCTGATTTCCATTCTCACACCACACGCGTGATCAAAGATGTGGTGTGTCACGCAGAGAAGATGAACCCCCCCCCCTTTACAGCAAAGGAATTTACTGCTTATTCAGCAGTAATTACTCTGTCCAGACGACGTCAGCACATCAAGTGAAAGGATAAAGACTCAGATTTAAAATGTCGACCCGCTGTGGCGGTTCTGGTCAGTCTGGACAAACACTGAGAACCCGGAGACCGTTTTAAACCCTGTTTCACATTTCTGAACCGTAACCAACTGGTTGCATAGAGCTCGTTTTCCATCACACCGATTCAACCCTGTAAAGAGACATACGGGTGCGTGAAGTGAGCGCTGCACAAACTGGCCTCGTCTGTCAGGACGTTAACGCAAATTCAAAGAGAGCCAACGTGATATTGTGCCATCGTTTGTTGTAGTAAATATATTGGAACCCCCCCCCCCCCCCCCCCCGGGGTGTGTGTTGGGTGGGAAGACCGTATTTCCACTTGAACGTGGAAAACCCCTTCCCGGGGGGTTAAAAACCGCTGTGATTTTGGGGGGCGGGGGGCTGAAGGAACTGGTACAAAATCCGCAAGTTTTTTTGGATAGGGGATATTTATATATGTATACATACAGTATTTCCATATACTAAAAAGCATAGTGTGAATTATACAAAGAAACAATAAGAACATTTCACAGTAGCAGTTATTACTCCACCGTAGGTATTTCCAACATGGGTGTGACTTGCTAATACGAGGGAGGGTGACGAGAAAACCAGACGAGAAGAAGGCGAGAGACAAACGATGAGGAGGAAACTACTTTTAGAAAACAAGCACTACTCGTCTGTGGCGAGAGGACCCGGGTCGTGGGTCCTGGTGATGGATGAGCAGGGAGGAGGAGGACAGAACAGAGCCGGTGCCTCTTCCTCTCTCCACTGGTAGGTGGCAGCAGAACAATGTCCTTCACAGAAGCAGTTGATTTAATAAGGAATGTGGAGCAGAAAGAGCAGAGAGAAAGCGAGTGTGTAGGCAGTGACACTGTGCAAACAGGAAGAGACTGTAGAGCGTTTCTCGTTGCCTACTGACGCCGTCGTGGAACTCAAAGATGCAGGTGCAAACCTTTCAGTAGGAGAACATTAAGACATAAAATGGCAGAAAAAAAATAAATATCAAAAACTTTTTATCAGTGTAAAAAAGTAATCAGGTTATTCGTTTTAACCGAGAGTCTGGCAAAAAGGCCTCAAAAAGTCTTGTTCACAATAGTTCCTCGATGGTTCACAAAGTGCCTCAGAGACCTCGCAGGGGGGGTTTGGACCCACAAGACCTGAGCTCCACTCGGCTCCACGCCCCCCCCCCCTCAGACCAGGGACTCCATGTTCTCTGCCTGGTCAGGCTGCTCGGACATGGACGCCTTGGTCCCGTTAGTGTCCCTGGACAGAAAACACGAGCCGGTCTCCCCGGTGCCGACTAGGCTGAGCAGAGCTTGGTAGAGGTACTGGTACTGGTCCTACGGAGCCATCACACACAGACAGAGAGGAGAAGGTGAGAACGTGACGAATCTACTTCTACCTCGAGAACTAGAACTCGACGGTGACTTAACAAATCACCACACCTACTATACAATCTGAGAACCTCGAAACGTAATAAAAGACATTTATTTTCAGTAATCACGTAAATATCGTGGAAATCTAAAAGAAACACACGGTTACTGTTCTCCAAGGTAAGGATCAGAACCATCAGACCCGCTGCACAGGTCGTACTCACGATGTCTGTGAAGACGCCTGGCCTCATGAGGTTGATCATCTTGGACACTTGATAGACGTCGGCGGCGCCCTCGTGCTCCAGCTGCCGAGACAGCGTGGAGAGGGCGCACAGCGTGCCGGCCGACACGCCTCCCAACCTGCCGGGACACACGGGTCAGACGTTCACAAACGCCGTCCTTTGATGACGTAGGAACATCGTACCCTCCCTCGATGTTTGGTGTCCATTCGTGGATGGAAATCACGATCCAACCTCTTCTAAATGGTCCCAAACTGACAAATGCTATTTTTTTTTCCCCCCATTCTGTCTCCGACGATCCTTTCTGCCGACGGCAATTTGAATCCCTTGGCGACAGGAGAGTAGCTCTGATTTCCCGCTTTGGGGTTCTGCGGAAAACTTCATATCACCCGTCTTTTGAGTCGTTCTCAGACAAGCAGCTCAGCCGAAAGAGTGAAGACACTCACCGATTCGGGAGAGATTAAAGACTTATCATCAAGGGAACACAACCCGAGGACGACAGCTCGGCCCAGCGCGGCGCTCCCTGGAGGACGCCTCCACAACGTGAGGGTCTCCTCCTCCTCCTCCTCCTCCATTAGCAGCCCTGTCGGCGGCGCGGCTAACAACCCACGCCTGGCTGGATAAGCATTGTGCAGAAGATTAGGACGAGCCGCCAAACGAACGTCGAATGTGCTGCGAGCCGGCCGGCGCCACGGCAACCGCGCAAAGGGCCCAATTAGTCTCGTTACTTTGTCTCGTTACTTTTACACGAGCGGAGCGGCTGGATCAGAGCGTCGTTCAGGACCACTAATGTCCGTCAATACCGGAGACACTTTCATTATGTTTAATTGGGCCGTTTTCTGGGGGGGGGGGGTTAGTGCGGCTGTCACTTGTTGTTTGGAAGTAAAGCGACGTGTCAGATGCGTCTTTCCTCACCGCACGCCCCGTTAATGCTCACAGACAAACACATATTCAGCTTATGGTCGGGAGCTACCTAATATTAGGGTTAGCAACCGCATTCATGAGGACCCGGGGGACCTGTTGTTCTTCTGTTGTTTATCAGGACCTGAGCACACAAAGTGTGTTTTAATTAACAGTATTTCACTTGGGGGGGGAAGCAAACGCTTTTTAACAGCCACCAGAGCGAAATACGGTGGTCTTATGACAGAAGACTTTTAGATCCATGTTTTGCGGGCACCTAACCTCATTTTTCCTTTTGATTCTACGCGGCTCAGTTGTTGGTCAGTGGAGTTTTAGATGAAGGGGTTTCTGGGTAAATTTGGAGCCACCAGGTGGTAAGTTACATTTTATTTGCTTAATTAATAAGGAGATGAAAGAGGTTTGATGGTTTGAGGCCGGAAGCATTTATCAGCATATCACAAAAATAACTTTAGTTCCCCTCATCCCTCCATTTCCAACTCTAATGTAATAAACTGGACCCATTGGATCCACCATTCACACCACGCAGTCGTGTTTAAGAGCGTATGAAAGTGCATGAAATGCGTGACTGACTCGTCGTGGACGACGGTTGGTCCGTCGCGGGTGGCGGCCTCCTCTTTGATGATGTCGATGAGCTCAAAGGTGCTGCTGATTGGCGCGTCGGGCTTCGGCCACTTGGGGCACTGAAAGTGACGAACCTCCAGCACGTAGTCGTCCTGGTGGACAGACGAGAGAGAGCGAGGTCACGCAAGGGAAGCGTGGCCTCCGACTCATCCAAATGACGGCAGCTTCCCACCAAACGCGGCGACCTTCTGCTCGTGAGACGTGTGCCGGGAGAAAAACTGGCATCAAAAAAAGGGGATCTTATCAAATAATTTACCGTTTCATTAGGAAAAGGCTCGTGACTGTAATAGGGGCCGTTTTGTGTTGAAAAAGTGGCTGTCGTGTGGCGCTCGGGCCGTTACTAAGCAACCCTAACGTGTGCGCTGGAACGATAAAAAATATGATGTTTTGGCATTAAGCTTCACTCAAAAGCAAACAGGAGCTACGGTTAAGAATGTGTAGAACTCTGTGCGCGTTCTATCGTTCTCCTCATGAGCAGAAGGTCCAGTCGCCTCTCTCTCGCTCACAGCCACACACTCGCACACAGCGAGGAACCTGTGTGGCCTCCAGGGTGAAGTCGTGGATGCTGAGCCGCTCCTCACTGGACAGGCAGAGTCGGTCTTCGCTAATGAGGGTGACGGTGAACGCCTCGCAGATCATGGCCTCCTCCCGACGGGGCCAGTACACAAACTCGTCCTCGGCCTGCGCGAGAGCACACAGGCGTTCCTCAATAAGTTCCTAAAATAAGGGCCGTGCCCGTCCTGACTTTGGGACCACGCGTAGGTCCTGAGATAATACGACTAATACGAAACAGACAAAAACTTTGAACAATTCGAATCAATCAAACAGGATATGACGGTTGCACTACCACGACTTATTTCTTTCACGCACTTATAATGTGTCAGCCGTCTGCGGGACGATCAATAAAACCAAAATTGGCTCTGGCAGTACATGAAATGCCAAACAGCCCTTATAGAATAGAATCAATACAACTGGATTCGGGTGCTCTCGGCTTCATCTAATCAAATTTGTGTTTTAATAATTATAAATCCACTGACCGGTCAACAACCAATCATATTGGAAGAGTCCTTTACGGATGCTTCTTAGTAGTTAGATTCCATTTTTTGTGCACAGGGACACTTATTTCACGCAGCGGAATCTGGAGCCACCTGGGGCTTTATACAACCTGCTTAACATGCAGCCGTCCTCCCCACTCCGCCAAAACAGACTTATACATTCAGCACGGCCCCCCTAAGGGCAACAAAAGAAGTGGTTTCTGCACTCCCTCGCTTCCGATCTTACAGTCTGTGCAAACCAGCAATCAGGAACATTTATTCCCAAAGTATGTTGGATATACAAGCAAATTGACATGGCGGCTGCTGCATAATATTGGACAATGAGACCTTGGACAACGGGACAAATAAACACAGTGCAGGAAATATAACACAAATCAATTTACAAACAAATACACAGTATGGAAGGTTAGAAAATAGAAGAATATGAATATTACTGGATATTACTTGCTGTGACACCACGCGAGTGTGTGATCAATGATACTTTAAACACAGGCTGAGCAGGTGTGCACGAGCATGTTAAAGTGGAAGACTGTGTGTGTGTGTGTGTGTGTGTGTGTGTGTGTGTGTGTGTGTGTGTTCCTACCAGGCCCTGGTTGGCAGGCAGCATAACAATAATTTGTGCGTTGTGGTCCCAGATCATTCTCCAGAAGTCTTTTGTGGTGTGGGGCAGAGGATGCTGGGTAATGATGAACTCATTACTCCGATAGTAACCCTGTGAAACAAACAAACAAACAAACAAACAAACAACCAGAACAGGTTAGTGGGAGAGTTACGGCACATTGTTTTGCTTCAACCTGTGTGAAAACACATACTGTTAATGGCGATTAAATCATCGGCTCATCATCGCACAAGAAAGTCTTGTATCACAAACTGGGTCATGCAGTCGAGGTCTCCATGGTTACCTAGAAAACCATCCACGACAACGGGACCCAGATCTGTACATCAATACGAGTTGTAAAAGGTGAAGTCATGACCTAAAGCCGGTGTATCTCGGCCTCCGCTGCTTTAATCTCATTGGAGAGCCCCGTTAAAGGTATAGTGCCTGTTTTTTTTTATTATGAAACATTATATCCTCACATTCATCCGGTTCTTAAACATCTCAGTCCCGGTTCAGCAGTCTGGACCAGCAGAACTGTGCGCGTAGCTCCCTTGTGTGTGTGTGTGTGTGTGTGTGTGTGTGTGTGGAACAGACTAAATCTTAGATACTGCATTTCTCTCCCTGGCGGAATGTTGTCAGTCTGTAAATACTGCAACACTTTCATCAGTTGGTCATGGGCTCGATCCCCATTGCGATTCTGTGCTGCCTCGACTTGCAGGTTTCTGTGCACCGTGGTTTTATCTGAGCGCTGGTCCTGCTGACCCTCGGCAGCTTTTGTTATGATTATTATTCTACTATGAGGGACAACACGTGGTCCTTTGTGGATAACAGAGGGATGGAACCAAACCATTGACGCTGACTGAGTATTTTGTCTCAATGACCTGTGACCTCTGAAGGGAAACGTCAAGAGAAGACCGGAGAGACCAGTGATTGACAGAAGAAGCGGATGTGCTGACCATGACGTAAGAGGCGTTGATGTAATCGGTGCCGTCGATGCCGGGCAAAGGTGCGAGGGCGACCCTCGCTCGCTCCGCTGCTCAAAGAGAGAGAGAGAGGGGGGGGGGGGGGTGTGCAGGAGGGGCATTAGTAGAACAGAGCAGTCGCGCGGCGAGGCCACCATGTGTGCATTTGTTCATCTTTTTGCTGCTATTCGTTGAGTGTAGACAGTCGTTGGCTTAAGATGAGCCGTCTTATCTCTGCTGAGCACCAGTCATTAAGACGGAAATGGCGACAAGTAAAGATTTAAAAGCTAACGGAATCATTTCTGTTAGCTAGACATTTAAAACCGTACTTTTGAGTATCTGAAAAAGTTATTTCACTTGAATAGTATTTAAATGCACGAGGTAATTCAGGGTGTTAACTGATTACCACAGAGCATTCGGGAGTCTTTGCTGTTAACTACGACTAACTAACACAACTCAAGGAACGGAAGGAAACTTGTATCAAATGAAATCCCATTAATGAGTTCAATAATTATCTATCTGTAGAGAACAGCACCAAAATAGCTGTTCTTCTATAATGCAGACAGTCTAAACGCAAAGATCACAGTCAAAGTCGTTTTTTCCCGCCAGTTATTAAGTCCTACTGGTGGAAATATGAATGCGTCTGCAGGCGGCTTCATTTCTAACTGAATAGGTCTGAACAGCGGCGTGAGACCTACATGGCACCACGGAGGAGTTTCGGTTTTTCTCTTTGTTGCACTCCTTCTGAGCATCGCTGCATTCCATGAATCTGCCGTTACGCCGTGTTACCAACTGAAAGGCACAGAGAGAAGAACGGGGCTGTTTGAGAGACGTTTTCACAATAAACCTCTTCAAGGAGACTCCCTCCACGTCAAAAGAGATCCGAAATGAAAACCTGAAGCTGGGAATACTAATACTCTCTAAAATAACCAAAAAGAAAATGACTAAAAATAGATAAAGCTGTGTTTTTTGTATAAGCATTTGCTTTGAGGAGGAACCTACACATTTATTTGCTTTAGAAGCTTCGGGATCCCCACGATCTAAGACCTGCTAAATGCTAATGCTAAACGTGGAATGAATATCACGTTCCCTTTACCTGGAACTGCTTCTCCAGATGTGTCCCTCCGCTGTGTCCTGGTGCCGTGATGCTCTTGAAGTAGCTGTGAAGCTGGCTGGCCGTCACTTCTGTCTCCTCCCCCACAATGGCTTCCATCAAGGCATCGTGGATAAAGACGTACTGCTCCTGGACAAGCCAAATGGTGCCAGAGGTTAAAGGGAAAAAAGCAATTGGTAGGCAAAGATGGCCTTTGGTGCGCAATAGATCTACAATGCAACAGCAATTTTGCAATTAAATAAAAGTATAGAGTTGGGGTTCTACCTCTGCAAAGGGTTAAAAACATACGTACCCCCTAAAAGGACGCAATATGGGGTATTTATACAGATAAATAGACTGAACAGAACCGATACACAAAAGCTGCTGCCAAACACCAGACTTCATGAAAGTTATGTGACAGTATGTCAAATTCAAATACCAAATGTTAACATTGAGACTTGAATACACAAGTTTACATTGATATTCCGCTCAGATGCTGGATTGGGGGTCGAGTTACTCTTCATAGGTCACATTGGGCAGCGATCTCATTTCTCATTTTCCTCACACACACAGAAACCGATATACGAACCTCAGTCTGGACCAAGTAGTTGCGCTGGGTACGTATGTGTTTGAGAAAGCCGAGTACATTAACCGTGCTCTTGTCTTTGATCTGCTGCAGCATGGCGTCTACCACGATGTACGTCCCCGTCCGACCCACTCCGGCACTGCAACACAACACAGGAGACACACTTGTGTAGAGTGTGTCTTTACCTGTGCACTTTTTGTCGTTTTGTCTATTCTTCTGCAAATCTAATTTTACATTTAATTGCACAATGTCTTTACAATTTACATTTATTATGTTGATATTCCATATTCCCATTTCAACCACATTTTTCTCCTTGTCCTAATGTATGTAGCATGTACAGCATGCATGTAGCTTCAGTCAAGTGAAAGCGGCGCACTACCTGCAGTGGACAAGCGTTGGTCCCATGTCAGGCATCTGGGCGGCCGAAGACCTACGGACAAAAGTGAGGACGGGCAGCGTGTACTCCGGGACGCCCATGTCGGGCCACTGCGTGAAATGGTACTGGAGGACGGTGCGTTCATTCAGGGCCCACGCCTCTGGTTTCCCCTTCCCGCCCTACACACAGAAGAAGGACGAGAGGAGGAATAAGCTTCACTTTGGCGAAATGGAAGGACCCTTTTAATATATATATATATATATATTTTTTTTTTATATGGGCATGTGCTACTCCGTCTTTTTCCGTCCGTTTTACATATGAGGAATATTGAAAGCACTAAACAAACAGATGTCCAACTTTATTTTGCTTTCATTCTCACCTTTTTGACTTTAGTATTGCGTAACATGAAGCGGCGAAGGGTGTAACAGGCACGAACTCTGGTGCTTTTCAGGGTGACTACCACGTTGCCGTACTCCTCACTGTTCTCTGTTGGCCAGTACTGGTCACATTTTCTCTGTAGGGCAAATTCAACAGTGAAACATACACAGGATGAAACGGATGAAATACATGCATTGTTTTGTGGGACGATTCCCTCTGGGGCTAAACCAAATTAATAAAAAGGGACTGAAAATAATTTGGTAAACGGATGTACAAACATCTGACCCTTTTTAACATCAGACGCAGCACTTTTTTGGACTGTCAATGACCAGCTTACCGCCTAACCCTCCAAAACAATGAGGGGTATTTTAAAAATATAAAGCTATCTGTTACAGTAGAATAAATGAACCCAAATTGTTGAAAGGACACTCAGACAAAAGTCAAACTGTTTAACCTTTCTTTAAACAGCCAGATGTTAAAACGTACCCTTCCTTTTTCCACCAAGTTGGTGATCATGACAATGACGCAGATATTTTTCTCCCACACCATCCGCCAAAAGTCCTCAAAGGTGGACTTGAGGGGTCCTTGAGCTGCGATGTAGGCTTTGGGCTTATTATAACCCTAAGTGATGACAGAGACGGATTATCACCTCTGGAACAACTGGTTGACACAAAGAACGTCATGAAACTACTACAGTAAAAGTTCTTCTAAAACTTCAGCCAGTATCTATAATATAACTCTGGATTCCTGATTGTTTTGCATTTATTATCTCAGTCATCATCTCCGTATTGTGGAGGAACTCACATCCACGTAGTTGGCGTTGATGTAGTCGGTGTGTTTGGAGTCCTTCCCGGCCAGCGGCACCAGCTTCACTCTGCTGTGGTCGTCTGAGGAGGAAACCACAACCATTTCTCATTCTAATAGTGCAGTGGCCTAGTCTTGCTCTTCCCCTGCTCCACCGTCAGTGTTGACGTGCTTTCAGTAGTTACGGCGAGAACATTTTTGGTAAAAAAAAAAAAAAATTCCCAGTAAATAAATCTAAATAAATCTTTTATGTTGGTTCCTGCTAAAGAGATTGAGATGGGAAGAATATCTCAAAACAGTCCTGGCGTTACATACACATATGGCTTGAAATTTGAGGGATTTGATTACTTTCCTTAATTTAAGTCATAACAAACGGTTATATTTTAACAAATGGTATCAACTCCTGAGGCGTAATAAAGCACAGGAATGGCATCATACACAGTGAGGAAAACCATTCGAACGTCATCATTTGATCCCTTCTAATTTTGCTACTTGTGGAGGGCTCTTCTGCCACGACAGTGACCCAAAACAAGAAGCCCATTAAGGCCGTGGGAGTGTCCTGTAGCCAGTCTCCAGACCTTAATGCCAAGCGACAGCCTGGGAGAGGATCTGCAAAGTGGACTGAAATCCCTCCTGAGACGCTCAAACCTGCTGACCAGCAGCCAGCAGAGGTTTCTCCACCACTACTGAGTCATGTTTTGCTAAGGGATCAAATATTATTCACACAATCAAAAGTGAATCCATTAAAAACTTTTATATGATAAGAATTGATTTATTTAAAAAAAAGGAAATAAACCTACTATTACAATAACAGATCATTCATTTCTTGTTAGTGGGTAAACTTACAAAATTGGCGAAGGACGAAATACAAATCTTTCTTCTGTTCTAGGTCTTTTAACAAGCCTATTCAAAACAGTGTTAATGTGAAAAACTTGATCCCAGATTATTCACCAGGTTCTTAAGGGGTCCTTGGTAGGGAGGGTGGGTTAGACATGTGTGTCCGTGTTTACTCTATAATTGACACACAACTCTCCTTTACACACAATCAAAAGAGATCCGATAAGAACTCATTTGCATGCGATGTTGTGGTGTTCTACGTAGCTCGTACTCACAGGCCACTATGTTGATGTATCTGTTCTTGTGCTTGTTGTCAGGGTGGTTTGAGTGCTCCGACGTGATCTTCATATCGGCAGTGCACCGTTGAACCTCCTGGGGAAGGACACACACACGCACACACACACACACACACACACCTAAATCATTCCGATAGCAAATGCCATTCTGATAACATGTCAGCACGCGTCGGGGAATCACAAGGTGTCTTAAAAATCCAGAAAAAACCCTGGATGTCTGCAGAGGAGGGGTCTCGATGTTCCTGGTGACCTCTGCAGTGACATTTACTGAACACTGGGGCTCCTTTTATGACCGTGAGACTTTCCGTCTGAAACATTTGTATTGTGTGTTGCAGTGAACAAAGCGGCCTCCAGGTTCTGGTTCCTGCACTGTCTTGTTTCCCAGTTAATTGCTCACAATTGCTTTGAAATCATGAGCGAAATTTACCGAGATGTGAGAAGCAGAAAGTATAGACCTAGTATTTGCTTACCTCAAAATCCTCAGAAAATTGTTGTTGGTTATTTGAATAAAGTTCAGAGATGTGTTTGATGAACTGCTTGACTGGAATGGCGTCCATGTCGTCTGCGAAGAAGAGACGAGGTCAGGGTCAACAGGAACTAGTTCTTTGTTTTCTAACCTCAAGTCCTAAGAAAACGCATTTTCAGTCCCAACTGGTCAAATACTCACGCTTCTAACTTTAATTGTAATAATCGTAAACTATAACCATCTTGTATCAGGATGTCAGTTTTGACTCGTTACATGCATGGTATATTTTCAAAATAAAATGTGAACGCAGGTGTACCTTGTTTTTTGGCATATGCAAGATGGCGCCAGCGATGGCGATTTTTTCTGTTTTTGTATATTTGTTTCGTCTCCAGCTCTCTCTGATCTCCTTTAGCAGTATTGTATTGAATCGTATGCAAGTGCATCGTTAGGCCCATTCTAGGTGGGCTGAAATAGCCCCCATGTTTAGGTAACAAAAGGTCTTGTTGAAAGAAGTTTCATCACTGGGTTAGAAAAACAGGCACGCAACAAAACTACAGTAAAATATGTTGACTTGGTTTCACACTGAACAGCAAAGTTGTGTTTTTACCCTTTTTGTTATTAATCCATTATTCTGCTTGAAATGAATACGCGTGCAACAGATGCCTTATTAAAGCCCAACAGATGTGATGATACCTGCTGTTTTTATGTTTGGAAGACAAACCGAGAAGGCAAAACTTGCTTTGATTTGTATTTAGGGTTTTTATTAAAATAGTTTTAATTCAATTAAAATTGTATGTAAATAAATACAACTTAATGAGTCAAATGCTCACATCTTCTTGTTTGTATGTATTAGTTATTTTGGTAGTAACTCCATTCCCGACAAAGATCTCTGCCAAGTATGCTTCAGGTTCAGTAGAATTTCATTTCCACTGCTTTGACAGAGAGGAGGAGGACAAGTCACCCGTGGTGGTCGGGATGCGTCTTGTAGGTGCTTTTAGCGGGACAGCACAGAACTGCATGTTTCAGCAGTCGTTACACATCTGCATACAAACAACTGGTCGATGTTCTTCAGCAGAAACAGCTGAACTTGACCGTGATGGATGTAAGCCCGTTTAGCGAAAAGGGCAGAAAATCCTCACACGACAGGGGAAACGTTCCCTCGGTTTAGTCTTCATCAAATATTAACGTGAACATACATTTGCCGCCTTTCACTTTGTGTCTTGTGAGACCCTCATTCAGGCATGCAAATATGTCAAAATGATTTGTGTGTCAGTAAAACACGGGCCGGCTGCTGAGCGTTCACAGGCTGGAAGAAGCAATCGGCTCCACTGAGAACTTTTCATGCTTTGACAGAATACACGGACAGTGTGGCACAATGGTTTAAAACAGCTACGTCCCAACCTATCAACGCCTCTCCTTTTAGAAGACAGCCGTCTGTCTGCGTGCGTTTCACACCTGCCACGCCCCTCTCTCCGGTCGCTGATGAGCAAAGCCGCGGCCCATCACACCATCAGCAGGAAAAGCTCCACATCAACTCCTGCCGAGCCCTTTTGTTCCAGGTTTGCTGGCGTGTGAGGTGGTAATATGCACTCACCGGACACTTCATTGGGTACACCTGGTCAGTTGCTTGTTAACTTAAATGGCTAATCAGCCAATCACATGGCCGCAACGCGATGCCTTCAGTTTACGGAGGTTGGGCCCAAAAAGAGAAAAAATCCAGTGAGCGGCTGAGAAAAAGTCTTTGTTGGTGTGAGAGGTCAGAGGAGAATCGGGGGGCTGGTTGGAGATGTTAGAAAGGAAACAGTAACTTGTTATTGCGCCCGGGGAGGGAATTAGAGGTTGGGTGTCTTGCTCAGGGACACTAAGACATGGTACATGGAGCAGCCGGGGTTTGAACCGACCACCTTGTGGTTCTGCTCCATGCACCACCGTCGCCCCTGTGTAGAAAATGGACTTACTCCAAAATATAAGCAATGGACCTTGAAAATATCCCTGGTCGTCTGCGGTTAAATCGTCTGGTTGGGCCACATAGAGATTCTATTCAATTGAATATATGTGTGATTCACGCTGCGGCGGCACTCGTTTTTTGGTTTAGGTCGTGTTATGAAAAAAGCATCTTTTCATTTGAACTGAACCATGTATTTGGATTTATTTTGACAACAGAACTACAGAAAGGGGCCTGTCTCACCAAACCCAATACCCTCCCCAAAGGGAACGAGGCTCTCAAGCCTGGTTTGTCTGTGCAGAGCTGCTCCAGTTTTCTCTTTAAGGGACGTTCTCCCAGAAGACGGAGGAACTGCAATGTGACGGAATCATTACATTGGTTTTTTTGAACAAATTGGAATTTCATTAAATAAGCTGCATTTTATCATCCATCTAGAATGAGTCGGTGTCTTTTCTCTGGGAGGGTCTGTGGTAAGTGGCGGCTGACGGCAGGTTTTAAATTCAGCCCAAGGTCTTAAACCGGATTATGGGACGTTAGAGGCTTTGGGTCTGAGCTTGTTGAGACAACTAACACAACAAGCATATGGCCGGTCTGCTGCAGTGGATTCGCATCTGATACTCAGCCTCCGTACGTCTGTAAAGCTACAGGTTGTACAAAAACAAACCTGTGGAATCACAGCGATATGAAAGGAATGGTAAGTGGAGTAGAGGAGCTCAGAGGGCCTGTGCTCCTGCTGGGGGGACCGGACATCGGCTCAACGGCTCAGTGCTGGACTCTGCCATGCCGGGCACGCCGGTCCTGGTTTCAAAGGAGGCTTTTGGACTCTGCCAAGGCCCAATGTGAAGAGACCCCATGAGCTTTAAATTGGTTTGACGGGTTTGGATCCAAATCCAGGAGCCGAGGAACAGAGCTGAAACCGCTTTGTTGCCTGAGCGTTCTACTACAAACTGCTGAACTGGGCCCAGCCGCTCTCCCACCATTTAAACCTTCTCACTGACACCGTTTCTCATGTGGCCGCAGATCAAGTCTGAGCTTGTAATCCAAAAGCATCTTTGCTAATACTAGAAAAACTCCTCTGCATGAACCCTTCCAGACTTTCTTTTGTACTTTGCATAAAACATATGCTTAACAAATACAATCAGAATAAAGACATCTCTTTTGAAGCTTGTCGGATTAGCTTTTTTTAACTTCCCACTATGACTTTTAAAGGGAATAGTTTGTTTCACAACCAGAATTGTCTCAAATAGGTCCGATAACAAGTCTGGGAGCGGCACTAATGAAGTATTTTATCCTCATCCTGTTGTTCAGTTGAAATGTTTTGGTGACAAAACATGTTTCAAACCTCCTTGTATACACATGGCAATTTGTCTAAAACCATTTTAATTTGGCCACGCTAAAGTAAATCCAGATCGCATGGTGAATGTGAGACGTGGTGCGTGTGTGTGTGTGTGTGTGTGTGTGTGTATGTGTGTGTGTGTTACCTGGAATGTGAAAGACGGGGTTTGTCTCATTGGGTTCCACCCTCGGTGAACTGTTGTCCTCCACATAGAAGTGAGCTGTCTGGAAACAGCGTCTGACAGAAAGAGACGCAGAGGTCAAACCTCAACGCGGCTCGAGCAGCAGGTTCATCCGTGTGAGCGGAGAGAGATTAACTTCACACACAAACTACAAACCAGCAAATCAAACACAAGCGTTACGATTCTAATAACCAGCTGCACGTCTTTCATAGTAACTTGTGTCTAAGCGTGAAACACACACACACACACACACACACACACACACACAGGAAGAGGCTGGCTGTCGCTGTGCAGACAGGAGCAGACACATAATCTGTGACGGTGATGTCACACGCTGCTATTTGCATCAGGCATTTAGACACAAGTGGGAATTTAAATACAGCAGAAGGAAGCAATGATGTCTTCTTCTTCTTCTTCTTCTTCTTCTTCTTCTTCTTCTTCTTCTTCTTCTTCTTCTTCTTCTTCTTCAGACAACACTTCAGACAAAGGGGAACCAGCTACGTTCACACAAGGAGTGGCACCTCAACGCCGAGTTCCCTCCTGATGTCCGAGCTGCTTAAGCTTGGATCTCCTGGACGCCTTCCACCGGAGTTTATTTGGGAACGTCAACGTCTGGTAGGAGACACGCCGGAGGTGTCAAATCCTCCAGCTGGTCTGGGAGCGGCTTGGAAACCCCCAGAATGCGACCCCGTGTAAGCGCAGAAAAATGGACGGACAGGTACATTCACATCCACTTTTCAGTGGGCACAAAGAAATCAACACCAAAATAAGATGTACACGTTATAAAGTCATTCATTATATTATTACATTTAGATGTGTAGAGGATGTTTGATCATCTACTACTACTGTGTTCTGAATGGTCCTGTCCATGAAAGCGTTTGATTTGATTTTAAAGTTGTAATCAGCCGACCAACAGCAGACACTCATAGAGGAACATCCGGCTTTATCAGCTATCAGGGTGGGTCTCGTAGGTATGCAAAGCTGTCGTGGATCATATCACAGACACATCAGGACTGTTGTTGGGGACATTCTTTCATTGTAGGAACATCTACCACTCTGGCAGAAGGAAGCCCCGATAAACAGGGTATCTGAGACGTGTTGGTGGGTCAAACGGACTTTCTATCCAAACATTTGTATCAGTTCATTCTGAGTGTAAAAATTCTGACTCGGTAAAAAATTCCCCCCCAGGCGGAGACATGGACACAACTTGCCAAAATAATGTTCCTGAACACAGTTAAAAGCATGGAAAGGTAAATGAAATGAGTAGAAACTGCCAATGAATTCATTATAGAGAAAAATAAATGTTCAATCCATATTGACCAGCGATACAGAAACATTGCTGCATAAAGTGATTTCTTGAAACCAGTTCATGACATCAGATAATAATTTGTATTTCAAACATTCTAAATACAAACACACCAGCTGACTTTTACTCCATTTTCTTACAAACCGCAGCCAAATGCCTTGTTTCAACAACAACATGAAACTAAACATACTCACAGTAATGACACTCTACATTGTCCTTATCCACTACCACTACTGCCAGTGACAACGACAAAGTCTTCATCTATCTGTGTGTGTGTGTGTGTCCACACCCTCCCTACCTGTATTTGATACAGAGCAGAGAGCAGAGAGTGTTCATCCTGGTGAACAAGCAGTGGATGGAGGCTGCTGCATGCTGCTGCTGTCATGAACTGAGAGCGAGTGCACAGGGGACGCAGGGACGGAGGGAGGGAAGGAGGGAGGACGGCTTTCCCGGGACGGAGGGACAAAGGGAGAGAGGTCAATCCCAAACTACTTCCTAGTAGGAGACAGCTGGCGTCGTGGTGCATTCATGTCACATGGGACAAAGCTGACAGAGCCAGGAGCTCACACATTGAACAAGAACTCAGACAAGTGGATCTGCTTGCTGGTTTCAGATGCTCCACAGATGTCTCTCCGTCCTCAAGATAGAACAGATCTAAGTCACAAGTTACGTGTGTAACTACGGTTCTATGAATCCTGGAAGCCCGCCAGAGGCAGTAGGCTACTTAACACTGGATTATCTTCACCTCTGACCTTGGTGATCCTCGTCTATCAGTCCTACAGGATCAGAAGTTCACAGGATTCCAAGTGCGGTCATCCAGGATTCATAGAACCGTAGTTACATACGTGACTTTTGTTCTATTTCCTCCTCACTGACTGCCAGATGCCGTGCTTGATAACACATACCCACCTCGTATTGCTTAGGCAGAGGAATTTGGCCAAAGAACCCTCCTAAGTAGCGGGGGAGTTGGCATCGTTCACCTTGCAGTGGTGAATGTGTCCGGTGATCCTCCTGAGGCTCATGTGTCCACCACAGGACTGCCCGTGATGTGAAGACACTCCTGGTAGAGTGTTCCTTCATTCTACCCAATGGCCTCCACTCCCCAGTGGGACCGGCGCCTTATGTGAGCGATCACAGACCTCCCGGGGCCCACAATCAACCGACAAGGAGCTGCTGCGACCAGCGTACGCAAGCAGGAACTTCTACATTGGGCACATTTGCCTTGATACGGGGGTCAAACTGTGCAGGCTGAACACGCCGGTTGATGCGTAAGCGCCTCAGCACCCTCGGGAGAGACGCTGCATTAGGCCACAGAGTAACGTCCAAACCATCTGAGGTCCACCTCAGACATGATTTGCTCACCAACAGGGCATGCAGCTCTCCCACTGGTTTAGCGGCATGATGGCAAGGAGAAATAAATATATTTTGTCCGATGTCAGTCTACCCAATAGGCACAGAACGTTGTAAGACCACAAAAAGAGAAGGGGTCCGATGCAGGATCCACTGCAGGGTCCGGTGCGTGAACTGCCCAGAAGCCGATCTGCTGCTGGAAGGGATCACCGACGGCCACCCTGACTTTGGAAGTTCGTGGATCGGCAACTGTTGTAGGGTTGTATGGGCAGCGAGCCGGCCTCTCAGCGGGATGCTGAGGCCTGTGGCGGCTACTGGGGGCTGAGAACTGCCTAGTTGAGGGCACGTTTGGCATTGAATCCCTTAAGGGGAAACTATGAGGGACGCCACAGTTTTCGCCGCCTCCTGCACAGTTAGCTCTGGCGACAGCACTTGATGTTGTTGTACCCACCTCCAGTAGACGAGCACAGCCAGCAGGAGAAGGAGGCAGAGGAACGTCAGACCCGAAACCACCACCAAAGGTAGCAGCCACTCAACGCGGTCCAGCCCCGCCCCAGACCGCAGCCTCGCCCGGTGGGTCAGGTTGGTCACGGCACCGGGACGATCTGGAGGAAAAAGACGAGGACAGAATTATTCTCAGGGGTAATTAATAGTTGACAGCGTTGTATTAAAAGAATAACATATTGCGTACAGTGATGAGAAAGGCCCTGAAAGAGTGAGAAATCTTCCCCCAGCGGCCGGTGTGTTCGCCCCCCCCCCCGCAAGGTTTGAAAACACTGAGCACTGTTTGGAATTGCCAATGTCTTGTTCCGTTCTCAGTTCATATTCCGTGCTTTGAATAGCGTGTTCGTTACTACAATCTGTACTGTGCTAAACTAAGCTAAACACATGCTGGACCTACTGTAGAGACATCTCATGCTGCGCAAAACCAGCCAAAAACAAGTTTGTTTCTTTGACTTCATCTCACAGACAACTGAAGGTGCCGCAGCAAATGGAAACCGTCACATCAACGTGAGTACATTTCCCAGCTGACGTCCTCTCTGCTCTGAGCCCTGCCCACTGTAACTGCATCACAACAACACTCCGCTCTGGGTAATTTCAGTCGTTTGGAAAAAAATCATCTACACAACAACCATCAGCACCACCTACCCACATGCGCGGTTACAGCCGTGACGTTGCCGGAGCTGACGCTGGCCCCCATGGCCTTCAATGTGCAGCTTTGCCTGCAGCAGAACACTACATCAGGACAGGCCCCTGCACTGCACTGCAGCTGGCTGGCATCCGCACTACGTGTGCATCCCCTTCCTTACGCACACACACACACACACACACAAACACACAAACACGCAGATTCTGCCTGGCTCTGTTGCCTTGTCTTGGTCCTCTGCCTTTCTCTTCCGATTACAGCACTCTGCCAAAAATAAATAAATAAAATGTGCAACTGTGCCAGCAGCACACAAGCCTACACACACACACACACACACACACACACGCAGTCCAGTCACTAATATGCAATGAGATGCATACTGTTACACACACACACTGTACGTGTATAAATGAAGCAGAGCCTGTTTTTCGTCCTCCCTGCAGCTGAGTCTGGCCTGCAAGCCTCATCTCCCTTCGCCATGTCTGAAAGTAGGCCAGCACTCGCATCAGAGCGAGAGGAGAGGGAGACGCCGAGAGAGGAGAGAGGACGAGGGGGCTCTGGAGGTGTTAGAACGAGGGGAGGGGGGGGGGCTCAGGAAGAGAGGACAGGGACCGAAAAGCAAAGCCAGACAACACAATGAAAAGTATTGAGGAAGTGTGGCTAAGGTAGACAATAGGCAGGTAGACAAAGAGGCAGGAAGGCAGATGGGACGAGAGTGAGGGAACGCGAGAGACTTCATGCAGCTGTTTCTCCAGATTGTACGAGGTAGTTTGAACATTCAGCACCGCAGATTGCTGGATCAGGGTCCCTGCTGTGTGGAGCTTATTAAGGTAGACTAAAGGTTAGGAAAGAATGTGCAGTTTGTGGTGGAAAAGAATTTCCTCTTCCTTTCCTGAAGTAAAAGAAATTCAGCAACAAGTATTTGAAACGTCAAGACGGAATAATGGATCCAGTTACTGATATGAGGCTGGTAAAAGGAATTATATGGATTGTATTTCTTGTACTGCTAAATATCTCAGTGAGAATTTTACAAGCTTAAGATCCCAGTCACCTCCACACCATACAGCATTTACTTTAGATATAAATATGAATATATATGTATATAAACTGATGACATTGTTTTGTATGTATTGCTAAAGTAACAACTAAATGCAAGCTGATGGACGTAGTGGAAGACAGTAGAAGTACATCAAAACTACATACATCTGTTGAAACCTTATGAGACGTGCAGCATCCTGCTAACTTTGGTTTTAAAATACATTAGTAGTTTTATAATTAAAGCTTTGACTTAGTTCAGGTGAGCTTTCATGCTGCAGAAAAACAGAGATTTGCACTAAAATCCTGCATTCATTCTAAAAAACAGCACCCACATCGAAAGCTTCTGAAACGTATGAATACGGTCACCGTTTTTTTTAAAGTTGGTCGAGAACTTTTAACCTTGAGTCTCGAATCGACTACTTTTTAGCTAAATGTGCTTTGACAAAGAGATTGAGAACTTCCGGTGAATATTAGGAGATCGCGTTTGCTCATAATAATGTCTGGTCTTGCTCTTAGTCCGTGTTTAAAAGCACTTGAAATTGAATTGATGTCCCATGGTGTTGGCTTAGTTGATGCAGTGCCTTGCTGAAAGTCTTAGCTTGAGGGAGTAGAGGGAGGGGGGCGCATTAGATCTACTCTCAGCTCGTCCTGGAACTCTGTTAACACTTTACGTGTTCTACATCAATGCAATTCATCCACTCTCTCTATCACTGCCAGTTATCATCACTTAGTACATTAAGGCCTTTAAGGAAGAGCCCCCCCCCCCTTAGCCTGCATACGACACATTACACTCTGTTATCCAACTCTTACATCCTTCTGCCTCAAACAACATTCACTTTTGTAACTTTAACAAAGTCCATATTTTTTGTATACTCCTACTGTGTATTTCTAAAATAGTTAATTAGGTACTTTTTGTATTGTACTTTTCAAGTACTTATTACAGAGAAACAGCGTTGAATGAAGAAGGAGGAGGACAGAGCTCCAGAGAGGAGAACAGATTCATGCTCTAAATGGAGCTTAAGTTTAGCTTGTTTTACCGCCGCATGTTTGAACATTTTAATAATTAATTAGAATTATTCATTATCATTATAATTATTTATTCTGCAGCAGCATACAAACGAAATGTTTTTTGTCCCAGCAAAATAATAGCATGCTAATTGTGGTTTTCTGCTGATCTAAATAACTATCAGGTTCAGACTCCCTGAGGCATCATTTGCTACATTGCCAGAAGCAGCTGCGGCATTAAAAACATGTAAAATATTAATCTTAATCTTAAACAAATTGCTTAAGTTGATCTCACACATCCAGAACATGACTAGGATCAAACATCTGCCACAGAACCATAGTAACACTGCAGTAACACTGCGGTAAATGGAAACGTTACTCTGTCAAATGGGTGGTTTTATTTTTCTGCCACTCTGAGCCGCATAAAATACCATACGCAATGTCAATTCATCCATCAGAATGGTTTATCAAACACTTGGATAAATGATTTTGTTTTCATGAATTGCCTCTACTTGGATCCTTAACCAGGGGGCAGTAGATTTCAGCCTTTTGAGGAATCTGAACGTATAAAGTTATTTCCTTTCATGTAGAAGATACTTGAGATTCACCAAATAAATCGGAGACTTTCAGATGGAAAAATATGGTTCCTCTTATTGCAGCTTGTGTCGCCAAATAATTCGGGACTTGATCCAAAAAGGGCCGAGCAGATAGTTCTGCAGTTTTTCAAATTCACCAAATAGCCTTTTACTTGTTGGTGCTTTACTGACGAAGGGAATTGTTCCGATTAGCTGACTTACCATGTGGATGTAGAAGGGCCAGAGCTGCTGTCCCTCCCTGATCCGGCTCCGAGTGTCACTGCCGGGTCTCGAGGACGAGAAAATCTGCCGTTGCATCGACTGGCTGCGTGCTGGTAGCTGACCTTATGAAGTAGATTGTGGGTACACGCCTCCCAGCTGCTTTTCTGTATCAGATCAGCCGCTTTTTTCTCCTTTGCAGTAGCATCCGGGCCGTCGCTGGACGGCTCAGTCTTTGCCGTGCTGTTTTCCTCCCTCGCTGTCCCGCCCACACGTCCCGATGTCTTCCTCTTCTTCTTTTTCTCGTCTTCATCCTCCCCTTCATCCTTTTCCTCCCCTTCCCTCTCCTCCTCCTCCTCTTCCCCTTGACCCTGGCTGTTCTCCCTGTCCTCGCCTCCGGCGTCACCGCTGTCTTTGGCGGGCTCGCCGGCTTGGCGTGCGGATTGGCGGCCCCGGGTCGCGGCTCCGCTCGGCCAAACGGAGCTGGGGAAGGAGGAGATGACGCCGCCGCTGAAGCCCAGGCCCGCCAGCAAAGTGCTGGTCACCAAGGACGCCACCGTTGCCTGACTTCCACTGGAGGAAGGCCCGATTCCTGTTGCCATGGAGACGAAGGAGAAGGGGATGCCCGAGGAGGTCCAAGTCGATGAGCCTGAGGAGATGGGAGCCATGTCGGCTGAGGAGGCCGGAGACACCGTCGGCTGCCAAAGGAGAAAGTTAATCATTAGTACTTGAAGTTATTTGTTGATTGTTCCTCATCACTCAACTTTGACGATATAAGTTCACCCCTTATATAGAACTACATATAGTTGTATGTAAGGGTTGTGTCCTATACGTTTGGAACAATTGATTTCTAAACTGGACCTGAGACCTTTCTGTCCATACGGGGAGGAATAATAGACACTGCTCTCTGCTGGATGAAATGTGCTCAGACATCTGCTGTGATTAACCTGGGCTTTCCTCACCATTCCAGTTTTCACAATCCTCGTCCCCTCAAAGATCCTGGTGGTATTTGCTGTAACACAGGGAGGAAAGAACCGTTAAACACAGAAGAGACAACCAGACGAATGCAAACACATTAATGGCAGCATGACATAATGGAAACCCAAGGTGCCAAATACTTAATGGGGTAGCATATAAAAATGCTAACGTTACTTTCTGTTACTTTTAGATTAGCCTGCAGCTGTTGATATACAGTAAGCTCACATAGTGTACATATGAAGAGAGCTTTTTCCATCAAAGGCATGTTGGTAGGACTGTATATGATAAAGAGATGTGTTGTGTTGACAAGATAATACGGCAGCAATTCATGAGCATTTCGTGTCTACACGGCCTGGGTGTGTGTGTGTGTGTGTGTGTGTGTGTTTCTTTGTCACCTCTGAAGAGCATGCTCTGGCTGAAGTCTCTGCGCATGTCATTCATGCAGATGTCTTGGACCCGAAACAGGTACAGCACATCAAAGGAGACGAGCGATATGACGGCCTCCTGGACAACACACACACACACACACACACACACACACACACACACATTCAGTAAGATCCTCCCAGTAGGAATCAGAAGTCATATTAATTCAGTAACAGCAGGGAGTTTAAAGTCAAACGAGGCTGCAGATATTAAGATGTGGTTCCAACTCTCCATATTCACAATACTCAGCCCAGCTGTCCATAGGCGGGTCGAACATGACATACATGCATTTCTTGTGAACATCAGTTATCCGACCAGCTTATTGCCCAACGCATGCACACAAGCTTTCCAAAGCACTTCACAGAGAGAATGTCCATCAACTTCATCCCCTATTGCCTTATAGTCATATTGGTGCATCGCACCGTCCTACGTCGTTCCATCCGCCCAACAAGGAATCACTTCTGTTCAATCCCGTGGCAATAAATTTAAACATGATTTTGTCTGTGAATCGATTCATTGGCCTCTGATGATAAATTCTCAAAGTGTTCCTCTCAGTATGACGTGTAATAACTAGTGAGCAGGTCACACTGTCTATTTGAAAGATACTGTTGTTTCTGGCTGAATGTTTACAAAACTGTGCACATTCCCATCAGCGTCAGCAGTAAACTGTAAGCGGTTATTATCATGATGTTAGCTAACACTGTCATTGTGCTGTAGACTCTTATTGCAAAATAAATCATGTAAAAATGCACAGCCGCCAATTAGCTAGGTGCTCCTGATGAAAGCCATCAATTAAAAAGAAATAAAACCGCCTCGCAATAAATTGTGCCTCTATATTATAGTTTTGTTTGTTGATTTGATTTTATAGCAATGTTGATGGTGCTGTCAAGTTTTATTGCATCTCATATTAGACAAACGAAGGCGAACTAAATAGCATGAAAAGCAATGCAATTCAGCAGCATCACAAACTATTACAATCTTCATGAAGCAGGAGTTGTTTCATCATTGCAAACCGTTGTCGTCTTTGGCCTCCTGACTGCTTTTGATCCTCACTTCACGTTATTTTCTAGCACTTTCAGATGCACATGAAGCAAAAGCATCCTCAGCTGTTCAGCACCACGGACAGAGTCGCACCGCTCTCTGTAACATGTAAAGGCAGCGCAAGAGATGTTTTCTATCATTCCAGTTGTGATGCCAGTAGTAAAGCTAGCTAGTTAGCTCTTGTTCAGTGAGACGGCTGCAGAGAAAGTGACCCTAACCCAAACTGAACTCTATGTATCACTTCACCCGTCGTACTATCCACTTCACACATAGGACACGCTCACTTGCCTTCATCAGGTTAAGAAGGAGCCTCCTCTCTTTTCCACTGACCCCCTTCGGTCTGAGCAAAGACAGCCAAGTGGTATCGGCCATGACAAGTCCAGTGCAGAGTGTTTCATCAAATGGGGATTCTCCCCTGATTGTCAGGTGGGGGATGTGTGGGAGATTTGAGGGTCCTAAAGCCATGTAAGTCCCTGTTATGACCTCGATGGGAGGTGTCGGGGGGGATATCAGGAATAAGAGCAGACTCAAAGGGCTGACAGAAAGAGGGAAGGCAAATAGTGTGTGGGAAGGCGTCGCGGACGGATGAGGCAAGGGGAAGAAAAGTAGAAAGGGAGGCGTAGTCTTTTGACCTGATGATGGACGACTACGTCCCACCTCTCTCCATCCATCTCTCATCATGGCAGAATCCCAGTCGAGGGAGCCGCAGCCAGGGGGCACTCTCATCCCTTTGTTTCCAGCCCTCTCTGGGTTCCCACAGAGCCACTGGCCCAAGGTCGTGCTTTCTTCCACAGACTGGAAGTCCCGCGTTCCCTCCAGGCTGACATTAGTATTCTGCCAGCCGATCGACTCCCACGATGTAAGGGAATGAAACCCCTGTCGGCTCCGCAGCCTTCGCTCATTGCTCAATGCGGCTCCTGATGAGACCATTTGTTACAGAATTGATGGAGGATGTTGCTCGCTGCGTGAGTGTGTGTCTGTGTGTGTGTGTTTGTGATCAGACATTTGTGTCCCCCAGATATTAATAATTATCTCACAAAAACTGCTGACATATTTCCTCATAATAACTGTTATTTTGCCAGAGCTGTGTGTATTTGCCATTTTAAATTTTGCAATCATATCAGAAATGTGATACATTTGTACATTTATTTGATCTTGCGAGGACCTCGCAGTCGTATTCTGATGATGTGAGATCCACTGTATTTCTGAAACACCACACAAACTACATGTTTTCGTCCCAGTCCAACTGAATTCGCTCTCTGAGGTCTTCTTGTCATTAGTTACAATGAATCGGACTCTTATCAAAGCCAGTGACGTTTTTACACACGGGAATTCATTGGATGATCGAAACATGTTCCGATGTGCGGTGTATCACAGTAATGAGGTCAAAGTCCAGTAATCAAGTTAATCAAATAGCATATGGCTGAAGGCCGGGCGGTAAGTGTCAGTAGGGAGTGATGATGGAGGAGGGAAGGAAAGGGGAGGTGAAAGAAGAAGGAAAATGGAGGATGGAGTAGAGAGGGCGCGCCGGGAACCGCAGGGTTCCTCCGTGTCCCACGTCGAAGTGTCCCTGGGCGAGACATCGGAGAAGACTCGATGTACAGTCTTGGGTGTAAAGAACAAGCACAACTTGTGTGTGTGTGTGTGTGTCATATAATTCCGAGGCTCTCCGAGGCAGCAACTTGACGCATGACTTGTCTGAGTAATGTTTTTAGTTCACGTGTGCACAGCGTGAAATGCAACACCAAGATAAATCGCAAGTACTAAACATGACATATTCAGACACACCAGGCAGTTCTCCTCCAGCATCGAAGCCAAAAGCAGGAGAACGAATACACCGTTCCACATATTCAGTGCAGGAGGGAAGCAGCGCAGCCGCAGAGCATCCACAGCCTCGGGCTGACCATCCCACTACAAGCTCCAGTCACTCCCAGTCTCACCAGTTTGTATCTGGCATCAGTAAGGTGCGTCTCCTCGTAGCTGTCGTCGTGGGTCGTCCAGCTGTAGGACACCAGGAAGTGGAGGATGGGCGGGTGGTAGGTGACCTCAGGACGAGCCCAGCGCACCACCAGAGTACTTCTGTTCACGTGCTGCACCTTCATGTTGATGGGAGCGCTGCTGCAAACTGGGAGGAGGACGGAGGAGAGAGTAATGCACCGACAAAGGAGAGAAGGGGTGATCAATGGAGGACGTTAGGGAAGAGCAAAGGAAAGGGTGGATGAGTGTGTGAAGGATTTAAAGAAACCAGGAAGAGAGCAAAAGTGAGACAGAAGGAAGTAAGGGTGAAGAAGAATGAGAATAAAGGGGGGGAAAATAGATAGAGGAGGTCATTTATTGACAGAAAACATCTGCTAAGCTTATCCTAAAAATACACAGAGTCACAAGAGCAGTTGTATTCATGATTAATAACAATAATGTTTTAAAGATTGCTGTGAGACACTGAATTATCAAGAAACAGTCACACATACACACACACACTTACATATGCACACACACGGTTTATAGATAGTTGCCTTCAGGCAAAATGCAACCAAGCACTCGGTTTTCAGATATGTGGCATTAGGAGACCGGGGCCCTGTTCCCCGTACGTGCTTCAGCTGAGTCAATCAAACGTCCCATTATCCAGCTGGAATGAACGGGATGATTGACATCTCGGTTCCTCAAAAGGCGCACAAAGCGTCTCGTTACTTTCAAGGCCGACAAAGTGTCGCCGACAAGTTGAACGCGTAAGTGTTGGGAAAATGTAAGTGCCTCATCACTAATCAATCAGATTACATGTCTTTAAATGTGCCTGTTTGCAGGAGGTTTCATGGAATAAGGATCTCAACTCTTTCACAATATGTAGATGAAAACAATCCCAAAGTGTCCAATTGATACGAATGGATACATGTACAGTTTCAGCCTATGTATCATATCACACTAGAAGTTTTATTGTGTGTTAAAACACAACAATAGTTGACCCAACATGCAGGTTAGGGAGAACCATTTCAACGGGTTTATGACGGGTTTATGGTTTGACCTGACGGATGCTCTACTGCCTCCGCTGGAGCCGATCTGGCGGAAAAGCTTTCAAACAAAAGTGGAGGTTGAACCTGCAGCATTTTAATGATGAGATGACACATATAACCTTCTGTTATCGGTCATGGTTCACTATCGGCTCACTTTGGTCAGCGTATCCGTGAAGCCCCATTCTGTCACAGGGACTGTTAGAAAAGAGGGAGAAGCGTCTCCCTATTGAACAATGCACGTAATGATTATTCCAAACACGCTATCGTATTATGCAAATTAAAGTAATTTGATGATGAACACGGGTTGATTGAGAATGGGGCTCACTTGCCTGGTGGAACCAAATTGATTAGCTTGCTTATAAAGAGCTGCAGTGGAGTTTTTCTATTCATAACCTGCAGTTGAGCCCCATGTGGCTTAGCATTACTAAACCCATTAGTCACACACACACACACACCTCCACAAGTAGAACAAACACACATGCACACAGATATCATTTTCAAGTCAAGCCGAGAATGACCTCTATGCAGGGTAAACGTATTTAACAGATTATATCAACCTGGGCCCAGTCAGCCATACCCTGTGTGTGTGTGTGTGTGTGTGTGTGTGTGTGTGTGCCGTAATGGCATGTGCAGTTAAATAAGTTAAATAGTACACATTAGAAAACCCTAACGCTGCGTTCACATCAAAAGCGAAGTAAATTATTGCAGCGCTTTAGTCGCAGTTAATTCCCAATCATTCGCGTCCCGCTTCATTCTTCCCAGGGAGAGTGGGCGTGGCTTATCCCTGTGGTCTCCATCGTTGCGTCACCGACAGATTCCAGAGCAAAATAGAAGGTTTATTCTCCTTAAATAAACATTCAAAAGGTTTAGTCCCCGAAAGTTTAGACCCGGAAGTAAAGTGTCCCCTTTACTTCGGGGTCAAAACGAGTCCTCCTCCTTCTTCCCTCTCAGGAGGATGGTTGGTTGCTCCAACGCACCGTTGTGGCCCTTCCGGCTCGGTGCTCTCCTCCGGTCGTCTCCTCCGTCAGCCAGCTGCTTTGGCTTCTAACGCCCTGCGGGAATCAGGCGTGCTGTGAGGCATTCTGGGGTGCCGGCGGCCATATTGGGGCGGGGCAGCCGATGCTTTGTGGCAAAGCATCAGCCGTCTACCACGTGTCCCCTTGTGATGCCACACCGTGAAGACCCCTATCCACCACTGTTTCTGCTCTGTGCTTGTCGGGGAAAATGACACGTCGGAATCGCAAACGCCGTCGTGTCCTCTTCTCAATGCGTCTTTGGAATGAAGCTGGGTGGACTTTAATGTCTCTATGTGTGTGTGTCAGACACGAGCAGTCCGTGTCTCACACACACACACACACACACCAACATCGAAGGGTCTCTCTCTCTCTCTCTCTCTCTCTCTCTCTCTCTCTGTCTTTCTCTCTGTCTCTCTCGTACATCTTTGAGGAGCCATTAGGAGGATGAAAGGACATCTTTGGCCCTGCAGCATGTTGACCACAGTTGATGGATGACCAGGTCTTGATGGTGGGTCGGTCTGGGGGGTGGGGTGGGGGGGTCCTGTGACAGGACTTTGCTGTAGGTCACACATGCACCAATGTCAAATACTAATTTACGCTATTCTGAATGCTTATGACTTAATGTATGTTAAGTTCATGTGCAGCCAAACCCTTTGGTACTGTGAAAGCACAGTTAGGCCACTTTGGAGGTTATTTTTACGTTCTTCAGTACCCACACAAAGCGATACTTGGAGGACAGGAAGATATTTGCTTTGCACCAGTGTCGTTTCCTCAAGTATCAACACTCCCAGAACACAATGTCTGACTACTAGGAAAAGAATCTCTAAAAATGGGAGCCGGGCTGCAGGAAACAAATGTCTTCAGATGTGAATTATGTAAATGCTGCATTATGTTAAATTGACCGTGTCTCCATTCTGTCAAACTTCAGGCAGCACAACTCATCGGATGCAACGCAACTATGCGTTTAGAGTCCTCCACCTGTGGAAGCGATGACAGCGGCAGTCAGACTGCCACTTGCATTGCTCACTTGCTATTTGAACACTACTTGTACATTTTTGTAAAATTGTGGTCAGTGCACTTGTGCATATTATGCAGGGACATGATTCAGCTCTTGGATTTATTAACCAAAACAAAATAGACAAAGTGTGCAGAGAGGTGTTCGTGAAGTACTGATTTGCATGTTTGTGTCCCTTCTGTTTCTAGTAAAAGCCGTTTTATACATATTTTGTCTGTGAAGTGAATTAGAGACGAAAATATGTGGCATTAAATGGTAGGGTAAAGTTCCTTGAATAAAAGGAAGAGGATGCTCAGTACTCAGAGTGTGAGAGTTATTTATGTAAGTGTGTTCATCATTGTCACACCTGGTGGTCTGAGTCGGTACAGTTTACACTAAAATAAAAAACGCTACATTACTTTAAACCACTGCGGCTTTTTTAGCGTTTTTTTTTTAAAGCTTTAAGCAAACATTTTAGGAAATATGAATGCCGTGAGTTAAGTTTGACCTGAGGGTTGAATTTAGAGCCAATCGAAAAAAGTGTTTCCTAACATGTTACTTAATGTCAGCACTTCAAATACTTTCTATAGCAGAGATGAAGTTAAGATGTTGAATAAATGCAATTTGCATATTGTTATCATCGAAGGGAACAGGCACGACCTGCAGGTCACACCTTTTGTGACTGAATCGCTGCACATGTTTAAGATGTAAATAGAAGAGCTTGTGACATTTTCAGGGACACAAAGAAAATGAAACGTTATTGCTGATGAGAAGCAATCATTAGCAGGAGGAAGCGTTCAGTTAAATGGATGAATTGGCACAGGAAACAAGAAAATGACTCCATAGGTTTTGTGCTGGTTTTTCGTTTCACAATGGCACTCGTGGGCCGAGAGTCTGCATGCATGTTGGTCTACAAGAAGGCTCAGATAAACGCACAGATTCTCCTCTTATCTCCCAGCCGGCCCTCCTCCTCCACCTCCACCCCCTCCTCATCTGCCTCTTAGCATCTCCTCTGCCAGCCTTATAGATATGCTCACAGTAAACATGTCCCACTGCAGCGCTCAAGGACGTTCTGCATAAATACGCAGGCAAACTGTGCCAAGAGAGTACACACAAGTCTGTGTGCGTGTGTGTGTGTGTGTGTGTGTAGGTGTACTTCTGGGTGATGCTCCTCTAGAGTCGACCACATGGAAGTGTGTACGAAGGGAAGGAGGAGACATCTCCTGCTATGACAGTTGACACAGCACAGATGCTCGGCCACACGCAAACACTTACAAATACACTGAAAAACACACACACACACACACACACACACACTGCACACACACACACACACAACACACACTGCACAATGTGTGGTGTTTGAGTGGTAATGAGGCAGGAGTGGAAGGACGGCTGCTGTGCCTCCCACTGCCTTATGCCAGGGGAGTTGGCCAACTCGCTGGTGAAATGACAGAGCGCTCGCCCGGACCCCACACACACACACACACACACACACACACACACACACACACACACACACACACACACACACACACACACACACACACACACACACACACACACACAGAGGACAATCACTTTCTTCTGGGCACAATCAGCAACACTAACTAGTGTTGAACATATTTCAATGCTCAAATATAATAAGAAATAAAGTAAACAATCTGCAGGTTTACCCAGAATGTGTAAATGTTCATCTTTAACCTTTTTTAATCTACATATCAAAATATATTTTTTGCATTTCTGCATCTACATTTTTTTGTCACATGTTTCTCTATTATTCTCTATTAATTAGACGTATGGTAATGAAAACGTCAAAAGTCTCTGCACCACTACCTTTGGACGCCTCGGTGCCATACGGCCCGCCGCCGCGGTCGGTCAGGTCGGGCAGCCAGGCGTCTGTGACTGCTGACTTGAAGACGTGGCGGTTGTCCAAGCTCTGGATGGGCCTGAAGTTGCTGCGCAGATACTCAACCGACTTAACGTGGTCCTGCTGCTCCGTGGTGAAGATGGAGTAGAAAGCCTCCAGCTGGACAGAGAGGAGAGAGTCAGAGAGCAGAGTTTGCGGTGTTTGTACGGACATTTGCAAACGCAGCGTTCACTCTTTTATAGCAAGCCGAAATCAAAAACAGCGAAAAAACAAAATTGCAGTGGAAAGAGAGTTGATGTGTTATTTCTGCATTAGTGGTGGGGAAATGTACGTATTGACTAGTGCGCTGCAGCAAAGCGGGAAGTACTTGTGCCGTGATACGGCTGAGTGCAGACTGTAATATTCCTGCTGCTGCGACTATTTGAAATGATCCTGATGCCAATAATTGTAAAGGATGGAAGCACGCTACCACGAGGGGTTTCTGTACATTATGAGGCGCACTTTCCCCTTGACCCTCCCCTGAACGCATATGCATAAAAAGCGCATTTTGCCTTTTTCACTTCCCCTGATGGGCAGTCTGCGCTTTCACCTCAGTGCGGCTTGTTTGCAGGAACCTCGCCGTGCTCAAAGATACTTCCTGCATATTCAGAGGAATTGGAAAATCTAATGAGCAGCTTCCAAAGTGATGCCCTTTTCCAGCCTTTGAAGCAAACAGTTAATCACAGGGAAGAGGAAAAGTTGACGCCCCAATCCAGACCAGAGGGAGAAGTGGCCCTGAGGATTTCCGATCAAAAGGTCCCCCACTAGAGGACAGGTTTGAATCTGTCAACTGCCAACCTTTCACACAGACCTGTTACTTCAAAAACATGAACTTTCCGTGAGCGTAGGTCCTCGTGGCCTGTTTCTCTGAAGTGCCGTCCCTGGGGATACTTGCGATTCTGGAGTTCTGATTGTGTATTCACGTTGCGCCAGTCTGTACTTCAGGCTGTGACACAAACCAACCACAGACGCAATCCAAACAGCACTACAAATATTGTTGGAGTTGGCAGAGTCGTAACTAATAACTAATAACGTCACATATTTGCAGAAATAGCATCTAAAAAGAGCCCGTGCCAAGGTAGACAGATAAATGTCGTTGGCAGACTCTAAATGCTAAATCATAAATATCTTAAGTACACTGGTCTGATTCCTCGGTGCCAACTGGGGCCCAATGCTTCCTCACGTGCTGCTAAAACTGGCACAACCCCCAAAAGCTGCTCAAGTTGAGGAGAGATGTGTAGGCCACAGCAGCTTTGCATGGGGTAAGAATGGCTGGATTTGGCAGAATTCTGAATGGTTTGAACAACTCGAAGGTGATTCTGTGAGGCTCGTTTGTGGAAACAAGGAGTCCTTCGCTGTGGTCTCTGATTGGTTTAATGTTTTCGGAAACATTCTAAAATGTATTCAGCTGCCATGTTCATCAAGCTGTGAGCATTTTGTACTGCTTTGGGTGGATATTGAAGTTGGCCTCTTCCGTCATGTTGCCATTTGTCAAATGCATGCTGTGTGGCAGGACGTGCGACCAGACATGGATTTGCACTGTGTGACTGAAGTGTCATCTTTCTGTCTGTGTTGGCAGATGGATACTCTGTACAATGTGTTTGGAAGCGATGCACACAGACAAACAGCTTGTGTGCAAGCAAGTGTTGGAGAAGCGAGGGAGGGGGGCGCTGAGAGGCAGATCAGTTTCACCGAGGTAAATTCATCGCCGAAAATATGTGTGAGCACAGCAAATGATATCCTGTGCTATGTCCTGTACGACAATCTGGTGCTCTGAAACTAAAAAAAGAAATAGAAACTGAAAAATATGTATGCATTTTCAAGGGATTATCCTCAATTTATTGTTGAAAATTGTACCTACGAAACCGACTCTCCTGAAAGGGCTCATTTGTAAGGATTGGCTGTAAAAGGCCATGTTCGTCTAATGTATCCACTGCACATTTGGGCAAAGGGCTGATGACGGTAGATAGCTTAGGGTTGACCCATCCTACTTGCTGCAAATCTTCTGTTGTCACAGTGTTAAGAAATTAATAAATGTACATAGGGAAGGAAAATATGTCAAATGAAAAGAAATATGTAAGTAAATATGTGACGTATTTGGGCAAGTGAAGAAATTAAACAGTACTCTTTTTCCCTGTGACCTACTATCACCACCACAAAAGGGAAGGATGAACACGGGGCCACTGATTCAAACGGTGTGCAATCCTCTGGGTCCATGAATATCCACATTAAAATATATAACGGCAATGAGGACGCTATTTGTTGCATGGATGAGCCGTCTGTAATCCCCATTATTAGGCCCCACCTGATGCATCATTTAAAATAACAGCAGAGGAGAAAGAAAGCCACTTCTAATCTTCATGAGACCCCCTGAGTTCCTGCAATACAAATGTAATATGCTCATAAAACATCCGGCTGCCGGCGTTGGTGATCAGCTTCAGGTGTGACCTTCGTCAAATGTGAGCGTCAAAGCAAACGATTAATACAAAAATCAAAGGAGTACCAGTTGTGAACTGATGATTTGTCTTTAGTCCTTTTTGCATTCTTTGGATTGGAGGTCACATTTACTGTAACGCATTTGTAAAGGTTTAGACAAGCAGGGATTTGCTTTTACTTTCAATTGAAGGAGGGAAAATGGCAGAGCTTCAAAAAAGGGTGAAATCAGCAGTGTGTGACATTGAGAGCATATTGCTCAGAACGCTCACAACGCTTTGGCTTTACTGTTTGTTGACTCGCACACACGATTACTCTGTATGTGTGTGGTTGATACCCTCCTTCGTATGTATTCACATCCCATTTAATGCACATCACTAATTCAGCTTCTTCTCGGAGTCTTTGTGCTTCATCTCCTCACAGGTTTTCATTCGTTGTGGTTCTATCTGGACCCGGGTCCGGCCTCCTGCCATGGCCCTGCTGACACCTGCTGCTTCTAACACTATTCATATTATATCACATTACTATAATTCTCATCACAAACCCATATCACTCACTCTTCTTTGCAAGTCTTTGTGCTTGGTTACATCTGATGGTGGTTATATCTGATGTTTACGATTGATTAAATGTTCATTAAATTGTTTAAATGCATAGCGTATACGCATGCAAAACACTGAATGATGCTTACTGAGGAGCTATTATTATTATTTTAGGTGTTCTAACTCTTCTGACAGACCTGGAGGAAAAAAGGACACCCATTTGGCTCCATCTTAGCTCCTTTCTGGAAATGTTGGCACAAATTCACACAATGCCAGATGGAAAATTATAAAAAAATTCCCCCATGTCCCACTTGGAGCTGCTATAGGGGGCTGATCTCAACAGCACTTCCCAGTTGGCAGCTCATATTGAGGTTCAATGCAACGTGCGAGCAGCGCGACTTAAACCATCTTAGGTTGCTACATCTGAGATGCAACCTACCTCTTTCCCACACACAGTTACACACCTATACACACACACGTCATTGGATGCACAAATAACAGTGAGGCTAGTCCACATGACGCTTTGAAAGGAAGGCATTTTGGGTGAGTTGTTGTGTAAGAACTTGAGCATCGATCCTCTCTAAAAGCAGGCCCAAAGCAATTGCCGTCACTACGGCTGACCTACTTCAACTATCTCCCAAAACAAAAGACTAGCAGCGCGAGCGGTGAGAAATATAATAGAAAGAGGCAGAGGGAGACAATAACTGGAGTCACCATCTGTGTTAATTCTCTTCCCAACCTCATCCTTTTATCTTCATCCATACTGTTTTCCCTGGAGAGTTGCGAAGCAAAAAAAGAAGAAGGGAATTAAAAAGACTTCAAAAGGATCATTTAACCATGTTGAGATAGACTGGCTGATGGTCAGGAAGGATGGATGATGCCCCAACGCCGCTTCCTCGATGACTCATTGATGATTCATTTCCCTGCTTCATATCCTGCTGGTCTGCATCATTTTCTATTTATTGACTATCATTGTTTTTTTGAAATAGTTGGGTGATGTGAATCTATTGTGTGTCTTCACAGTGAGCACCAAATTCCAAACATCCAGTTCAGGTTGAAGCTTGTGCCAAAAATAAATTCCCTCCAGGTGTTTGTGAGATCCGTTCAGGAGGATGAATCGGACGCATGCACAGGCGTAAAGGCTGACAAATTGATAATGCAATGAGGAGAAAAAGTAGATTAGTTGTCAAGTGATATCAGTTTACTCTCTGTATGAAGTAATATGTATTTGTCTGCTCATAATCTTCCTAACCACAGCGTCCTGGGAAAGAAGAGGTCTGGCCTCCCGGAAACCACCAAAAGTAGCAAAGCTCAGTATTTCTTTCCCTCAATTCTCATATTTCATATTCATTGACCGATACCACCCTTTATCGTTTGTGCAAACGATCCTCTCCTGAACTTAAAAAGCCTGTTCATTCTTTTCCTGTAAAGCCACACAGCATTCATAATTCTGCAGCGCAGCTGTTTGAAACAACCTACACTGGCTACCAACATCTGTTAGAATATACTTTTCAGTCCCAGTGTTGGTGCAGTACAGCACTAGATGTCCTCACTCCCTTTTATATCACAGACCGTCTATTGTTTCATGGTGCCCCTTTTACTGTGCTTCATGTTGCCATATAAACCTTTCAGGATGGTCCTTTCAGCCCCCCCATGAAAAAATATGAGTCCAGATAGATCTCTTTAATTTTGCATGTTTTACTTTTGGTGTTGTCTTTTTTTTTAATCTTCTTTGTTTATTTGAAAAAAAAGAAACCGTATGTACAGTATGTGGAGAGAAAAAGCGGAGTCAAATTTCAAATAAGGTTTATCATGTATGGCCCAATAAAGCTGATTCAGATTGTGTCCATTTGGAAATTTGATGTACCACATTACAGCTCATTATGTGAAAGTCTCTCAGCCCCGACTATAAGGAGCAATCCCCTGAACAATGGAATTAAAATAACATATTGAAACGCTGATCACAATCACCTTTTTTCAATCTCTTTCAATAAGGAAAATAGAGGAGCGTAATTTGGCTGCACTGAGTTTCCATGTTTTCTCCCAAAACCAGAGATGCATGTACCTCATTTTGAGGTTCAAATGAGAAAAAATCATTACAAACGATAACCAAGTGATCATATTCTTGGCTTGTCTTGTTATTCTTACCTGTTTGTAGGAGACAAAGATAGGTCTGCTGAAGAGGATCCACTCCACCACCTTACTGCAGGGCGGGGTGGTCAGAGAACCGGTGTAGCGATAGTAGCTTCCCAGTGCAGACGGCAGCAGGTCCTTCAGCACAAACGGCTCAAGGACAGTCTCTTTTTCTACATGTGAGAGGGCAGATCACACGACAACTTTTTATTTCACCGCAAACTACTGAGAGCATGCATTTTGGAACAGATCCAAGTGCTATTGATTTCATTTCAACTGTGCTTGACTCGTTTAATATCCCCATATCGACAGATATAATTGCACTGACCACCTAGAATTATACCTCTGCTGGTGTACATTGGTACACATGTAACAATGTTAATAATGGAATTACTCCTGGTCAGACAAATCCAATGAACCATATGAACTGTGGTCCAGAAGGAAGGAAATAAGGCGGTTCATGGAAACAAATGGAGACTTTTGCCTTTTAGAGAAATTCAGAAATAGTTATTTAAAGCACTTTTTCAGTTATTCTTTCTGTGAGTGGTGAGCCTTGCTTCCACTGACCTCACAAGAGAAGTTGATTTGTTTTCTACATCAGAAAATAATTCAACAATATTTTTTAGCTGTGAACAGGGTAGAATTGCAATAAGCTATGACATTATTTCCAATGAGAAAACTGTTTTTTAGTTCTCCAATCATCTGCAAGTGGGTGTGAAATAATCTGTGTTTGTTCCAAAATAAATAACAGAATGGACTTTTTAGGAGTAGCAGCTACTTTTATAGAAATGCAATTTATGTCTCGATTTCTCACAACAGCAAAGTCCTTTGTTGTTCGGCATTTGTCCTGTTTGTTGCATTGATCTGAATCATTTTTAAGAGAAAGGCTGTGGTTTAATAATAAGACAGTCTCCTGGATCTGCACCTGAATCAAAATTATCAGAACCAACTCGTCAATTAGGCAAAATGACAAATCACTGTGCAATAAACTTTCATCTAAGCCATGCGTGCAATGCTTTGTAGATTGCAAGGTTACTGAACACGGCAGTTGAATTCTTGCGTTAGCATGGGATCACACGACAATCCACCCGGTTAGGCTTTAACATGTGTGTCTGGAAAAATCAGCATCCTATGAGGAGCTACTGGGACCTCTGGGCATCATATCCGTTACAATAGCATCATTTCGAATCAGAACTTAAGTATTTTGAGTATTTCCATACTTTTTTCCATGGTGAAGCTGTTTTTCATCTGCTCCCAACAGGCCTCGGCCCAAGTTTGAATGACAGATGTTTCATCCAATCACCTGCCACATACGTTTGGAAAGTGCCTGTCCTTTTTCACATACTTTCCAAAAACAACCCTCGGCTCAGAGGAACAAACCATCTGGAGGTTAATGCCAGTGTCCATTTGCGTTATTGAAAGTCATTGAAAGTCATTGAAACAGATGAAAATTGAATCGATCAATAGTTCTTCAATGATTGAAGTTCAGCATTGTTCTTGAATTATAACGTTTAGACGTGACCTCTTGAATAGTTGAGGTACGTAGGCGAATGGCTGGAAGTAATGTGAACTGAAGAAGAACAAGATGTCAGATTTTGGAGAGTTATAACTATCAATACTTGTATACAGTGTCACGACAGACAAAAAAGTGAGTTATGTTGCCAATTGTTTGCATATAGCTGTACATTTAGACGACCCCTCTGTTCATCCAAGTGTGTGTGAGACATTTGGTACTGAATTGAAGCGATTCCTCCTCGCTGGCAAATATTATAAGTATATTGATTCACTACTTCCCTCTCTGCCCAAAGTCTTCACTTACATGGCACCGTGACACCCTGGATTGCTGATTTGTTTTTAAAGGATGTGCAGAGCTTATCTTAGTTTAACCTAAAAGCGTCGACCCTGTAGCACTTTTAGAGAAAACCGTAAGGAAAATGATCTGTTATTATGTTTCTCTCTCCGTCTCTACTACTGTACCACTGAGTCTACTGTTCCTTTGCTAGTGTGGGTTAACATCCCAACGTGCTTTTTTTTCACATCAGATCTGATGCAGCTCCACGACACAGCACTCACATGTTAAGCTTTTTTTCATCCTCTCCTCAATAATATTTCCAGAAAGTTGGGACAGCCACATCTATATATGTGTCTTTCTTTATTTCATTTGGGATTTTTATTGATTTTTTTCACACCATACAACTTGAGCAGTTTGGCATAACCATAGTTAGTTATGCAAAGACGTTTTTAAGGTCATCCTTTGAGGAATATCAGGTAGACTTTGAGTTGAAATAAGTTATTAGCTTCTCTTTACAAAACACATTGTATGACAATAATCCGAAGGGTAGTTTGAGCATTTGTGACAGAAAGTGATAATCAAGGTACCAATGATACTGTGGCAACCCAAGGGCGCAGCACCCTGGACAGCGCCTCAGCAGACTGCACAGGAGCAGAGATCAGCACCAAGGTCAGGGGCACCGACGAGCAAGCGGTCACGTGACCGAGAGGGGAAACGCCCCCTCTAGAGACAACGAGCAGCCCAGGTGCGGCTCATGAGGCTGATGGAGGTTGGCCACACTATAAAGGACCAACCCTCCCAACAGCACAGGGGACTAGACGTGAGTAGAAGCTCGCTGCACGCCGGGGCTTTTTCATTTTTTCATTTTTTTTTGGGGCACGTGTGTTAATCCCTGTTGTTTTCTGCAATAAGGAAACCCTCAAAAGAGGAAGAACCTGTTTTGTCCTTTTTTGTGCGTTGAAATAAACCGTACCCTTTTTTTGCGCAGCCAGTCGTCTATCCGAGTGCCAGAGTTTCACCCACACCCGTCGGTTGCCACAATATCAATCATGGAATTAATGCAAAGTAAATCATAATACAGATTCTCTTCACATCCCATATTCTCCATCATCCCACCGCATCATCAGGCTTTACATCTGTCACTCCCGCTAAACCCCCCCGTGTAGACAACGTGCTCCTCGCTCTGCCATGAGTCTGATATGTAAATCAGACGCAGCCTTTCTACCGGGCTCATTTCACAGGGACGGTGTGGAGCCGCTCGCTGGCTAACTAGTCAGAGGGCGTTCGTTCCAGTGAGGTTTCATGTAAAATGGAACAAGGCATGAGGTACAAAGACCGAGTCCGCGAGTGCTGTGAAAAAAGTAACCACCCGCTGCTCCACAGTGTAGCTCTGGCGGAGACAAAGCAAATAACCAACCACCTTCCCCGTGGGAGAGATGGAATGTGGTCTTGATTGAACTTTTGTGGTCTTTGTGTTAGATGAATTATGGAGGCGGAGTTGCATTTCAGAGAGAGCTGAGCAGGAGATAAAGTACAAGTATCACACAGCAGGTTTTTATCAAAGTTTTATTTGTGTATAAAACTCTAAAATTCACTGTGAAGCCGTTGTGTTGTTGCAAGGCGAGCGAGCCCATGGGGGGGGGGAGAAGACAGAACATTGCTTTAGGAGAGATGTTTTGATGATGACGGAGATGCACTTCAGGGCTGCGTGCAGAAGGGCATACGTGCTAACAAAACACAATGTAATATCTTTTAATTAGTTATGTAAGGGATAAAAAAAAGCAATCGTCCCAGAAGTCCTGGATAATGGTCTGTATGCGAGGCGATGAATGATGCAAAAGGCTGAGACTTCTGATGAGGACTAAAATCAAAGCTAGAGTACCCCGCACTTAAAGTATGATAAAAATATTATGCATCAGAAGTTTTACCAAAGGTCGTGCCTACGCGTGCTTTAACACGTGTTTTCTATCTATTCAGTACAGCGTACATGGTGTAATGTCCTAACAATGTGTCACCTTGCTTTTCTCTCCAAATGTATCGTATACTGTGCACATGCAGCTGAACATGTGCTGAACCTTGCACGCACTTTTCCTCCTGTAATTGACGGTCAGCAGCCCAGATGAGCGGATTCGTGTGCAATATGAAGCTGCTGGCTGTCACTCATGACAGCTGTGCTGTGACAGATGTTACAACCTGTGTCACTTATAGTTTTATTTTGCACTAGGATGAGGAGACCTTTTTCCCCATCTTAAGGTTTTGCCTTTATCAGACAATTATTGACCCATGACCTCCACAGAGCAAACTAAATAAAGCAAGAACATTTCCCAGTAAGGCTTTTGTTAGCGGAGCCTAATAATTGTGCTAATTTAGCAAAGCAAATTTACAGTCCAGATACTACGTCCCATCAGCGCGTAGAGCCTGTTGACTCATGTTTGAACATTCAGTTTGCAAATGGATCACCCCCCCCCCCAACAGGAATATTCTTCTGCTATGATAGTTTACTGATCACTGCAGCAGCAAATTGAATTGAATTAGTTAAGCTGAGTGAATCTGACGTCTTCACAATACTGAAACCAGAGAGTCGGACAGCAGCAGTTCCTCGGATGTCCAGTCGATGAGGTCAACCTGCCGAGTCCGGCCACAATCACTGTGTTTCCCAGTGAGCTGAATCGTGGACTGACGATGCACTTCAGTCTGTTTTCAGACATAGTAGGTGGACAACGCTAATGTAGCCGAGCCGCGTGTCTGTCGACAGAGGATTTAGCACAGCAATAGTACTGAATGATGTGTCCCATATCCTCCAGCCAACAGCGGCACAAGTGATATTGATGTTATTGGAAGATTTTCCAGACCTTGTAGTTGGATCGTGATATTGCTTACCATCCAGAGGGTTCATTTCTTTCTATAATATGTCTGTGTCATATAGAGCAGTCTGAGATACCAGACTTGACCATACAGTAAATGATGTTCTAAAAGGGCTCAACGTTTTTGTAATAACAGAAATGAATTCGCAGCGTGACTCTCTTACGAGTCATGGCTGGTACCACTCACCATGATGGACCACCCCCTTCAGGCCATGGATTATGGGGTCAACAGCCGGATTGTCCTTCGCCCCCACCTGAGGAACACAGAATAAAGATACAGTGAACATCACATAAGATAAGTATGAGTATAAATAATTTCAGGTCATGTAAATCATTTCTGTGTCTCCAAATATTGAATTTTTGTCTTTTTTTCCCCACAAATTGTATTGGTATTTCTGTTCCTAATTGTTTTTTCAAAATATGATTGTTAATTTCTTGGTTATGAAAAGATAGTATTATTTACCTTTTATATATTCCTTTTTCTTTTTTTATGGTACCACCTGCTATATGCTATGTACTCACGCAATCATGACGTTTCCACTAATTTGGGGTCAATATTAGCACTTAAATTTTTTTCCCAGTATGAAGGGGTCGTCAAGTGAGTATGGGGGAGAGAAAAGTAACGTAACCCATGAGATACCATGCCTAGGTGACTTTTAAAATGAAATAAAATGATCATAAAGAAAGCAGTATATTTCTACATTTTATTTCAGATCTTTTACAATATTCACTCAAGATTCATAGCCATGTGGGTGAGAACAGCTGACGCATCCCTCTGCCATTCAATTTCCTCGCCATAAAGGACGTAATGAGATGGGGACGAAAGTTAAAAAAAACAAAAATGGAAGTAGTTCAAATGAACTCTGTCAACCTCTTTCACTCTGTTTCAGTTCTACGTTCCAATTATTCCTAAAAAAATACATTTTCAGTTTTTGACTGTAACCAAGGAGGAACTCACAGTTTATGAGCAAACCCTATTGCTGTCACCACTCGAAAGGTTTGAGAACCACTAATGAAAAAGATGAATATGGTTCAGAAAGCTTGTTTGGAGTACATTCTGACATTAGCTCAACACTCTACTCGGGGGCTATTTCAAAGGAAAGAAAAGGCTAATGGAATTGATGGTGGCTGGGAAGAAGAAGTTAAAAAGCTCAGGGGAGGAAACAAAATGTGCAGCGTAACGACTCTGAACATACAGCAGCAGTCGACAACTCCAAAGGGCCGTCTTCACCCGACCTCCAGAGTGTCCGTTTTTATATCAAAAAATGTCCTTTCATTGTTGTCAATTAGTGCATCACTGCGGTCATGGCTGAAACCAATAAAAGCAAAGAATTTAAAAAGTAGTAACCATATACAGCTCAGGCGTAAATTCAGTCAGGAAGACTGGAGAAGCCTCGTCAGAGGCCTCCTCTCCCCCTGTGGATACGCCGTCAGCTGACTGGGGGCGGCACGTACTACCTGTCGTGGGCGTGTCTCCGTTTCCGTAAACCAACCCAACGCATCGGTGCTGTCTAACGTTAAAAGCAGTTCTGGGGAATTTGCCTCGCCTCATCTCGGCATCCCGGCCCCTAAGAAGTGTATCAGTGTTCTCATTTACATATACAGTACCAGTCAAAAGTTAGAAATAGGTGAGAAAATGTGTCAAAACCTTTGACTGTGTATTATATTTATTTTGTTCTATATGTTTTGCGTATACGCTTAATACTTGAGATTTTCTTCCTACTAATATTACTCACAACAAGCTTTGCTGTGCTTTTATTCCTAGTAGATTATTGAATACTGACATTTTTACTATAACCGTTTATCACCAATAATAAAACCACCACCGACCACGACCGGAATAGCCGACACTCGGCTGCATAACAAAATCTCTTAATGCATAAAAAATCTCAAAACAAAATCAGAAAATGCTTTTTTTTCCACTAAGAAAAGAACTGCCTGACCAGTTGGGAATCCCTGCTCGAGGTGACAGACAGGCTGCTTGACCCCTTTCTGCTGCTTACCTCCAACTTCTGTTTTGGTTTTTAGCCCAGAAGAACTCAGCGCTTCCTTTGGACAAAGAGCAACACAACTATAATTCCGTCTGTCATTGGCGGCCTCATCAACGCTCATGTTGAAACGAGAAAACCAACTTGTTCTTGGCTAAAGATCAAGGAGACACACCCGAGATGCTTCTAATGGTTTGCAGACTGTTCCATTCCTCTTAAGTCATCACATGACAAAACAGCACAAAGGAACGTCAAGCTCCAAGCCTGTTTCTTTCCCACTTAAACCTCACTTCTTTCTCCCGTTTCTCAAGGTCAATGTTTTTTTAATGGGTTTCTGGTTCCTGAAATAAGGTCAGTGGTTTACACCAGAGGGTTTAACGCTTTGTGTCAGGGAGGTAAGATGTTCGTCCTTTCTTGTGTTATGTTGAGACAGCATATTAATAGGTGAGTGTATTTGGTAAAGATTGTTTTCTTTATTGTTTTGGGCCAAGCCCACCCAGATGCTTACGGTACCCACTGATGAACAAACTATTGGGGGGGGGGGGGTGAATACGATTTTGTGGGCTGTATTCCCGCAGCACTGGTGCTGATCTGGGAGCAGGTGAGCGAGAAAGGTGCTCGGGTTTCCCCCAGCGTAGCAGAAGTAGAGCAAGTTTTACAGTTTACAACTTTTCCCCATTCGCACGCACACACACAGCTTGTGTAATCGTTCCAAAGAGCAGACGTTAATATCTGGAACCGATCTAATGAAGCTGTTTTCGGTACAAGTCGAGAGAGAAAGTGGATGTGGGGAAAAAATTGCCGGTGTGAAGGAAAGACAAAGACAAATAAAGACGGCCATTGAGACCCGGAGAGAAAGAGTCGTACAGAGAGACGGCATGGTGGAGAGAAAGGAGGACAGTGGGAATTAGCCTTTCATTATTAATGTTTGTCTCAGAAAAGCCCACAGGCTCGTCCCCCGAGATCCCCAGTCACCAGGCCTCACATCACAATGTCCTAGTCCTGTTTCTATCCACCCCTTTATCCCACTTCAAATCCTGCGTCGCTCTCTCTGTCCCCTCATTCCTCCCAACAGCTCCATCTCCCTCTTTCTCTCCAGGGACAAGCCACTGCAGTGACAAATCACAAAGAAAGACGGCGTGGTACAATGCGACATGTCCTCATATTTCTCTTTACCGACACGCTCTCCCTCTCTCATCGCCTGTCGCTTCCTCCCACTGTCATCCATCCTAGAGCCCTCACTATACTATTATTATATCATACTACTATTACTACTCCTTCTGAATGTACTAATGATAAATCAATGAGTACACGTGAAGTACAGAATTACATCAATGACCAATTCTTCAGTAGATGGTGGGAAACAGAGCGAGAGAAAGACAAAAAACTCTGCCCCTGTCCTGCTTTCCTAATTCATGCATCATAGCCCTCCATGTTTGAGGCAAAAGGCAAGGAAAGGAAAGGAATCCCCGACAGGGTATCAAGCGCCATTAAACATGGAGATGCCAAGTTTAACAAAAAATTGATGAACCCGCTAAAAACTTAAATTTGAGGCATACAATGGTGGCTGGAGATTTGTCATTTCGTACAAAACGTCCAAGGTAGGTGGCGTTTATGATTCATATAGCTTGATGCTTTGTGCTTATTTTGCTTCGGCCTCTGCGAGGTTTGTCTGAGAGAAAAGTCACGGATATCAGCGTCTTCAGCGTCGTCCAGGAAAGTGATTCGGTCTCTCGTTTTTGATTTTAGCTTCTAGCTTCGATGAAAACAGTGTACATAAGCAAATTATATGGACTAATTTGCATAACACATTTACTAACTTGTTGTATTTGGCACATTTTCAAATGTATAAGTGGAAATTGTAGCCAAGACTACAATTTGTTGGGAGTACACGATATGTAACCTGGTGGAGGTTGGTTCTTGTTCGTTTTTTCTTACTTACTAAGTAAGTAAGCTTACTTACTTACTTACTCAATGAAACACACTCTACTGCATTTATAGCTTAAATCGTTAACATTAAATCATATTTCCAAATCACTGCTTAAAATGACTTGGGTTTCTCATAACAATAAATATGATTTTTATGAATTTCTGCCAAGTGTCCTTTGATTTATTGTCCTATTTCCAATTCCTTGTCTAAAAAGGCTCTTTTGTCATCGTTTGTGACTCACCATGAGGAATAGAAGTCACGTTCAGTACAGCTTTTCCTTTTTTTTTTGTCACTGTCCTAAACCAATGTGTTAAATGAGGTACAGACAACAACAAGTAAAAAGAGTCAATGCTGAGTGCGATTTACATCCCAGCTAGGCCTCGCTTTCTTATGCTGGCTGTAGCTGAGTGTGTGGAAATCAGTGCGTCATGCAGCGCAGCAAATAAGCAAATAAATAAGGGAAATGATAGATGTTTACAACTGCCGTCTATTTCAATCACAGGCTGCGCTGCAATGGAACCATAAAAGTTCAGTCCAGCCGAGTCGTTGGGTCCAATTTGTACTGTAACACGAGTGTGACGGTTTCATTCATACACGCTGCAGAAACCCTCCGGTGGAGGGGGAGGGAAAATAGCTGCTCCTCTTCTTCTTCTTCTTCTTCTTCTTTCTTCGCAAGAAATAAACAGTTTTCTAACCGATCGTAGGAGAGTCTTTACCGTGGAAAACAGGCCTCTACAAAACGATGATATCAATACAAGCTTCAGTCCCAATATAATTCATTGTAAATGGGGTTGGTGAAGTATTGTTGTGTAGTATGTGGAAATTCAGTGAAAGCGACCGTTTCCCGTGTTTGATTGGAACGTTTGAGATCCGTCCAGAAAGCCTCACTGTGTTTTATCTAAGAGACGTTCAACTATTTCACAAAAAGGACTTTCTGAGCAAGACTAAGTCATCCAAAGAAAATCGTATCAAGCAATTATAAAATCAATTTGAGCCCGTCAATGAAAAACAACGAGCCCCTCCAGCGAGCAGATATTGATGGTGAAGATTTGTGATTACTTTGCATCCTCTAGTACAGTGGTCGCCCCCCCCCACCTTGCCCTCCCGAGCACCACACCCAGCAACTAGTGTCGCTTTTAATCTAAGCGTTTACCCAACGAGCCCAGAGGAACAGCATTAACACACAATGCAAGCAATGCCAACTAAAATCACCAACATGGCCTTAAATAATACAGGCTGTCATGTTAATCCATACAGATCATGTCTCTTTTGTGTGGCGCGAATCAGAAACGAGTCTTTCTATCATCAGTTAATGTTTGGTAAGTCATGTTGGATCCCTGATCAGGAATCAGGAAGCCAAAATATGTCAAACATACAAGGAATTTGTCTTGGCGGTTGGTGGGTGACAGTAGACACAAAACAGACAATAGACAACAAGACAGCAGTGCACAAGTAATAAAATAAAATGAAACGCTAATGCAATGGGTTAGTAGAATAAGGCCGTGTAGAAGTGGACCATCATCGTCTTTGGCAGGTTGAGTTTCTTCAGCTGCCTCAGGAAGAACAACCTCTGCTGAGCCTTCTTGGTGATGGAGCTGATGTTCAGCTCCCACTTGAGGTCCTGGGTGATGATGGAGCCCAGGAAACGGAAGGAATCCACAATAGTGACGGCGGAGTCGCACAGGTTCTTCCGGAAATCCACAACCATCTCCACTGTCTTCAGAGCGTTGAGCTCCAGGTTGTTGTGGCTGCACCACGACACCAGATGGTCAGACTCCACCTGTAGGCGGACTGTCTGTTAAAGAGCCGGGTAACGTCTCTCTCCAGAATAGAGAGGGTCGTTGCTGGTGGGGGAGGGGAAACCTGATCACCAACCTGGTGCTGTGGGTTACAGCATGTGGTGGAACTCTGAGAATGAAATGAAAGCTCTGCACAAACTGTGTGTAATGATGGGCAGAGCCGAGCCGATCTGAGATAACGTATTCCTGCTCATGCCACCTCATACGCTTGCGTGCTTCAGTTGTGTCCGACAAGCCTGGTCACAATATTCCAAGAGTGTTCTTGATAGGAGTCCTCAAGCCAGGCACACTTTACTGCAATCTGTGCTGCTCTGCGTGGCTCATAAAACACACAGAAGGCGTTCCGGCGTGACTATTTCAGATTTGAAAATCGTGGTGGCAGAAATACAGTCCCCCATTTGGGACCATCAATGTTGAATTGTTTTCTTTGATTCAACCATTTTGATGAAAAATGAAGAGAATAACTTGCGCCTCTGACCGGTGTCTGTGCAGAGCAATGTGTGGAGGCGGCTGCAGCGCCGCCTGGCAGACGACACGTTCAAGCTGTTCAGCCCGGACACACACACACACACACACACACACACACACACACACACACACACACTAAACTGGCTCACGGAGCGAAAATGTAAAGTAGATCTTTTGCTCACGTGGCAATATTTTGATATTTGTTTTAAAAACTCTAAAAATAGGCAAAGTGATTTGATGAGCTGAGGCATCTGTGACGCGTCAGAAGAGCCAGCAACGGCAGCCATCCGTCACACAAAGTGACAACACCATGAGCCAAGTCTAAACGTGTTGCTGCTTTCTGTGCCAGAATAAGATTGTTGAAATTCCACTCAAGGCAAACACATTGACTTTTTTCCTCCTTTTACGTTCCACATGTTTTGCCTTCACATTTAGCGCTCAGCGCTGTTTAAGTGCTCAGCTTTCGGCTGTGTAGTCCCGGGTGAAAAACCTTGAGATGCACAAAACAACTCATATTCAATATTTAAATCAAATGTACACCGGCAAAGCCCCCGTGGTACTCCAGTCCATACTCAAACCACATTGCAAAGCTCACACACACACACACACACAAGTGATTTCCAGTGAAACCCGCTGCAGTAATAATAGTTCCTCAAGTACAATGAGCAATGAGTGTGTATCAGAATACGAAACAAGCGAGCTACTCCATCATCAACATTCACTGCGCTTCCACCATCATACCAGTTTAACTATCGCAAGACAATTGATCGTGAGTTGAGTGAGCACTAGAAATCTGGTTAGAATGTGCTTGAAATAAGGTTCTGAACATCTAAGACCTCAATCGAACGTCTTTTCAACCAGCCAAAATGTGTCAATATGTCAAACGCTTTCAATCGATTTGTTGATGATGTGTTCTGTTGTAACGTTGAAAGAGAGATGATATTATCATAAAGATATTCATAGTAAATGATTAAAAATACATATCAGACTCTAAGACACACCGGCGAGAGCCAGGTAGCAGAAGAGAGTGAAGACACAAAGACAGCGAGAGAGACTGAAGTGAGAGGGGGAAATATTAAAAGGGGTTAATGGTCCAGTAAGAGCCCACTTAAGGCCTCAAATTCACTTTTTATTCCTGCCAATTGAGTGTGTTAGAACTGACAATGATCCCAGTCCCCCCACAGCTCCACTTATCAGACCCGAGACCGCTTCTGCTGCCAGGAGTCCGATCCGGATCTACACGTTTTACAGCTATCACGGAATCAGGTTCCGGGAAAAAAACGAGAAGACAGAAAACGAGACCTTCACCTCACCAGGACGGACCAACTTAAACTTTACCCTACTATAAATAACAAGAACTACAACAATAATAAAAATCATTTTCTTTATATATCTTAACTGATAAGAACGGTTTGCGTTAGCAACTTACCTTTGCGTAGTTCTTAAAGGTGCAGAGTACACTTTGTTAAATAGCACCCATTAGACAAATGGATCAATGCATTAGGCTTCATCTACTTGTGCTCAGTGAAAACGGGAGAATGTTTGAATCGCATCCTAATATCTTAGCAGCAGCTCATCATTGACGTAGAACAGGTCATTATGTCGCCCCTTTACTTCACACAGTGAGCTCATGTGCATCTGACGGGACTTCAGCTAAATTGGGTTTTCACAGAAGAACATCAGAATTTTGTGTCCACACTCTTTACATTGTAAAAGACAAGTTAGAACAGTGTCTTTTGTTTCCGTCACAGACAACATATAAAGCAGCACAAGGACGACAGGTATAATGAGGAACGTTCTCTTTAGGAGGTTGAATCTCTCGAACCACGAACATCGTCATGGAAGAACGGGCTCCTACCTGAAAAAACACAGCCATGGCTGCGATGATCCTCCTCTCCCTCAGAGCTGCACTCAGGCTGTCGAAGTCGTCTGAATTGTACATGTAGATTTGCATCTGTGACAGACAGAGACGCACAGGTTAGGTCGACAAACACACCATTACACTCTATAGAGACTCTGCAACAAATTCTTCTCACTATCCACATCTTCCTCACTAATGACTGCTGTTGAAATGTGTAGCCAAACATGAGGAGCGTAATATGGGGTATGGGGGGGGCTGATACATCATGTTGTTGTGGATAAGATGACCTACAAGGAACACGCTAATCACATGTTTAAAACTGTGACCTGTAATCCGGGACGTGAACAATTTCCCGTGAACTGAAAAAAACTCCCTAATGTCATAAATTATATTGAGATTACGAACACACAGCTGAAAATAGGAGGCATTGTACTGCTTGTGTTGCACAGGTCGAGGCCGGCAGTCGATAATACTGTGAAATGAACTTCTGAACGTCTGATGTGTTTTTGCTCAGTGAAAAACAACGAGAACAAACGTGCTCACAGTAACTCTCAGAAAACTGATCAGTCAGGCACGGCTCGTCGTCACGGTGATTCGTAGCCGTTTGTTTGCATTTACGCACACGGGAGAAGTTGAAACGAAAAACGCATTATGTGTGTCTGCGTATTTATTGAAACTGTGTGCATATACACATGTGTTAACACAATTTGCAGTTTCTAGAAACACGGCCTCCCTGCGTGCCAAAAGCAATTCTGTGCTCTTCTTCTCGCCAAGATCAACACTGCCAATATCAATTATCCAGCATTTCCTCCAGCTTACTAATCCCCACATAAAGAGTCCTGTGCATCTCTGTTTCATCTACTTTCAGAGCAAACAGTTGTCAAGCGGCCTGATATAAAGTGTGTTTGGGGAATGTATTGCAGAGGCAGCTCCACTGGAACAACACATTCTCCCAGAGAATTAATGAAAGTCAACAGGCGATGGCGCTTGTGATGTAGCACTGAGAACAATTAGAATCAGTACAAACACTGCTGTGTTTGCCCTCATGGTGGCTGAAGAGGACAGTGATGGCATGAAGTGGACAAAGGTCAGCATTTTACATGCAGCCATCGGCGTGAAGTTATATTGTGTATAGTGTCCACTACTGTTTTTTATTGATTAGAAATTAAAATAAAAACATTGGCTGATTAGAATTTTTCCATTCCATCAAAACACCTCACCCTACGGAGATAACACTGCAACAACCCTGAAGACTTGAAGAGATTTTCTGTCTCATGTATCATTTTACTGTTAACATTTCGATTATCTACTTCAACAAAGTTCAAGATCCAGCTCCAGAAAAGGCTGAATACTATCCCTCTGAAGTGGATGTTATCTTCTGTTGTCATTCCAACACTACACCCACCCAAGTTCTACTGTGGGATCAACTTCTAAGAAGACATTATTATATTGCTCCTCTCAATATTTGAATAATTATTTGTTGAAATGATTGTACATATTTACGTCGCTCATTGTGTGCACATGAAATCTGTTGCACTCAGTCCGTCCTGACAGAGGGACCCTCTTCTGTTCCACTCGGTGGTTCATTTGTAAATTGTGCTTTTGGGTTGTTCAAAATGTATTAACTTGCATTTATATACAAACGCCTTTTAGAGTTTCCCTTCGGCGTGAATCTGATCTTAATTCATCATCCTTTTAGGAGCTGTCCTGTTGAGGAAGTGCAGCCACTTCTATAGTGGCTTAAAGCGTTAGGCAGCACACGGCTAACTTGACTCTACGATGGAGGGTCTGCGTCTGTCCAGCACTTTGCATGTACTCGTTTCCTGAGCTTTTGTCAACAAAGTAAAACAGCCAATCAAGACTACAAGCCATTTGGAACGTCAAGCAATCTCAGAAAAACTCTTCCATCCACGGTGGATGCAAAAAGACACGAGCATCATCATCGTCCACTCACTTATCTGTCTGCTTTCTACATCGAGCTTTCTTCCTCCTGCTTTCTCTGGGTAAAGAGACAGTGGCTTGGACATATTACCCGTGCAGCAGTCATCACCTTGTGTCCTGCCCTGAGCTTCCACCCTGCCAACACAACCTATTGTGTATGTGTCACTGCTCATTTAGCACTTGGCCCGCTGCGCCACTTTCTCCATATTTATAAGAGAGGGAGGCATCTAGCACGCAAACGCGACTACGTTAGAGTCCGCCAAGACCTGAGGCAGAGGATCCAGGCTGCCAACAACAATACCGTCACACTGCTGCCGATTGGTCCAAAGCTGGTTGACGATCGCTGCAGGGCATCTGCAGATGGCTGGTTGAATTAGATATGATGGCTAGTTAAATTAGAAATTATGGCTGGTTAAGTTCGAAATGGTGAGGCTTATTTGAACCAAATATAAATAAATAGATGTCTGCGCACGTATGAACAAATTGAATTTAAAATTGAGAAGATAGAGTCTCTGTGGAGGTAATTATTTGCTTTGTTCCTTAGATGTGATGTTCAAGGTCCCGTGTAGGATAATTAAACAACAACTGGCCCAAACTGAATCCCAATTGTTCAACTTAGCGGTTGGGCCCAAATAATAATTATAATTAGCCTAACGATTGTAATTTGTGATAATTGGGGAGCTCTGAGCCAAGTGTGCCCAGGACATGAAGCTACTAGGGTCGTTAAATGGAGAATTTAGATGGTAAATGAGAAATGTTTTGTGTTTTTGTATTAGATTCCACAACCAGCACTTCTTGACCTGGGGCACATTTCACACTCGCTTTGTCAAACGTCTCTGCAGCCCGACCGGCTGCCGCCTCCCTGCCAACCAGCCCACGGAGCCCACGCGCTCCCTGAAGAAACATCATCCAACCTTTGAAAAATAAATAAATAATGGATTTCAGAGACAGATACACAGCATATGTATGCCATTTAAGAACATTAAATTGGTCTAGCAGTGAAAACCTGTAAACATTTTAAAAAGCTAAGATGTTTGACCAACAGGTAAACCATGGAGGATCTAGTTCATTGTTAGAATAATTAAAAAGCAAAGGGATGTGGGACTGACCTGCGAGGGACATTTTTTAATTTAGCACCATATAAAGTGAGTAAAACATAATAGCTCAAATGTGATGCTTTAAGATGTGTTATTGTTAAAGTGTACTAGCTATTAGATGGTGCTGTTATGCTTGCATGAAGAAGCTTTAAGCCAGAGGTGTCATCATTGAATATATTGTAATATTAAGTGAACAGGCATTGGTCATGTTAGAGAGGCATTTCAGATTCGGCCATCAGATGAAGCCCGGGGAGAAAGAGTCATGGAATTCCTCGGAGCAGAAAGGAATCTACGAGGACAACGTGGGAGGAGCTGCGTTTGAGGACATCTCTGTGAGATTGGAGAAGGAGCAGACAGAAGCCTCCTGAGAACCAACCGGACTTCATCCAGTCACCCATTCGTACACTGATGACAGGAGCTACGATACACGTACACACACACACACACACACACACACACACACACACACACACACACACACACACACACACAGGGTCCAGTCTCTTGTCCAAAGACACATCGACATGGAATAGTGGAGCCGGGGATCGAACCGCCAACCCTCTGATTAAAGGTTTTCGAGCAGCACCGTGGTCAGAGCTGGCTATGTTGTGCTGTGCTTAGTTCCGGGAAAATCAATAGACAGAATAAATCCACTACAATGTGTAATGGACTGTATTTGTACATCTTGTTTCTAGTCTTCCAGTCACTCAGAGCTTTAACTATTTCACATTCATACACGTACACGTACGGCTTGTGTCTTTCACTGCTGGTGCACGGATGAAGGACAAACCTCTGCCACTGAGCCGCAGTCGCTACAATGCCGACCTCCGTCCCGTTTGGTAACGTTTTTACAAATGCAACGCGACCAAAAAGATGGCAGTTGCCAAGTTCTAAAAGTGATAGAGATTTTATTGAAACAGCCTCATTGTTTCATGAGTTGTTCTGGATAAATGAAACAGTCTTCAATCCTTCTGCTATCCAGCAGCAGGCAGACGTTTATGTGGCTCAGCTCGGCCTCCTCTTATAGTGAACGCCATCCGAGGTGAGGTGGGAGTCACTGCTTTGTGTCCCTGTTTGTCTTTGGGATGTCTTTCTGCTCAGAGTATCCTTGCATATAAACAATCCATACTGGCATCATGATAATTAGTCTGACATTTTCTCTAATTCTCTCACATCAAAACATCTACCAGGATATTGAAAATGACCAATAGTTTGGAAAAAGCTATAATTTGTAGCAATTGTTTGTGGGAAAAGGCGGGAAATAGTGAAAAGGTAAATGGTGGGAGGAGCAAGGAGGCAGAGGTGGAGGAGGACGGCCTCCGTCCCAGCGGTCAGCCTCAGGGGGCCCGGAGAGGGAGGGACACTGCAAGTCTTCTTGATACCAAACAACTGACTTATTTTCCACAGAAAAACACTTTGGAGAGGGAAGCTCGGTCCACTTTCCTACTTTTACATCTTCATATCAGCTGAAAAAGGCATCATTACCCAGTCAGTCTGAGGCCTGGACTGAGCTGCAACCTGTAATCACAACTGGTGGAAGGCTGATGACTGGGTCCAGGTCTTGTCTACGAATACCTCCTCTGTGCTTCCGCCCACTGGGACATTTCCTCAAAAACATCCCTTGGGGCCAGAACTTCAAAAGCACCTCGAAACCCTGAATGAAACAGAACAGTGAAGAGGAAGAGATCCAGCCAGCTCATTTAAAACCCACGATGCCTTCCTGTGTGACTACGCACCCTGGTCACTGAATACATGGGGAGGGGCGGAACGACAGTGGGAACACGGCGGATATTCTGTCAATATGAACGTTGAGATCACTTAACTTTTTGATTTACCACCATTAATGTATATAATACCTCGTCCTGTATTGTGGGAACGATGTGTGATTATTATGCTCAACTATTAACGAAGAGTAGTGTTTAGAATTTAGAAGATATCACAGCGAACTTGGATTGTGGATTTCAGCTTGTTAACCAAGCAACAGCCGGTAGCTGCTAATATGCTAACAGGAACTGCCACAATACTCTGGCGCCATGTTGTTCACAAATTTCTCAC